AACGCGATCACTCGTTGTCAACGATATATCTCCTCCCACTTAGAGCACGCACGTCATCTCCATGCATATGAGCACTGATCACTCACGGAGCCGCAAGACATAGGCGGGTTGGTACAAGCAGCCGGCAATATTCCGGAAGATTCGGCTTTTGTCACTGCTTTACAGAAGATGACACCGAGCTAAACGTACGGATAGATTCCAATAAGCACCAGCGCAGTATTGTCGTACCTCTTACAACAACCTCATGCGCTATCGCACTTTTTTGCCGAACGTTGTTCAGCGTGTCTGACTCGCAGCAAGAGAGATGGCGCACTGTTCCCTTCGCAGTGAACTGGTTTGGACCCCTCGCCGTCCAGGAGGGGCCGCTGCCAAGGATGCCCCTTACCAGATTCTGTTGCCCCGTTGTTTTTCCTGGCTCTTATTGATATCGTTGCTATTCCGCGGCTATTATAACCGAAATTTCGATTATATCGCCCGCTCGGCAAGACGCTCTCGATTCCTGTCTCTCTGCCAAATATACCCAAGACTACGAAATCCCTGCCTAAATTCATGATAATTGATCCGCTCCGTCCAATTGCAATAAATTGTGGGAGATCGCTGACGCGAGTCGATCTTGAGGAATGTTTCTTCGTCGATGCGTTGCATACGCGACGGTCTCTGCGATGTCCGACGATTTTCGCAGGAACGCGGGCCCAACCTTCGACATCGAGGCGTATCCGTGTATCAGAGCAGAAGAACGGAAATGGAAATCCAGTTCACCAACTCTCGTGCTGGTCACTTAGATAATGGAATAATTTCTGTATTATTTTCCTTTATCACGAACTTGTGAATACATCACGATCTTATCCCCAAGGAGAGTTCGGCTAACGAAACTCCGGTGCAACACGGTGCGTTGCCGTTCCGTGCCGCATTTTTCGCCTTTGTGGGTCTCGGGATCGCATCTTCAATGATTCTCACACTAATGCGATTCTTCCTCGCGGGTGGCCGATGAAAAAGATCAGGCTGAAACGCTACCGCTGAGGATCGACTCCAGCTCCCGAGTCCGACGTTATATCCTCGGAGGACTGACCTGCTACGAGGGCCAGAAGGCCGAGCCATCGCTCCGGCTCAAATTTGCCTGTATGATTCCAGCTCAGATCGGCTCGTTGTGGAGATCGAAATCATCATTAGATTTTTCGGGCATCCGGTGAGTTCGAGCCTTAGCTGGAGGAGTCCGAATATCTCGTACGACGATGGATTCCCAGCAGGTATTTGTACATCCTACGTTCGGGTGGCTCGTGACCTGTGGCAGAGGGAGCCGTCGTCGGCGTCGTTCGGATGTGGAGTTGTGACCCTATATCCGATCGATGGCAAAACCGCAAGGTCTTCGCAGTTCTCATGGGAGAGTTGCGAGGAAGACGTTTACTTTATTGAACGATACAACGTCGCTCCGGCGCCCGGTAGCGAGCCAGAATCAAAGTCATCTATTCGTTCATCTGGTCAGTCACCGATAAGCGAGCATTTTGCCGTTGAGAAAGAACGAGTTTCAGAAAAAAGTCCGCGGGGACGACGACCATCAAGAAGGCCTCGGAGTGAAGCTTCCCTTTCATTTAATCTAGAAGCTGGCCGTCGGTCCTCCCAGGTCTCGCGGAGCCAGGGAGCCTGATCATATGGGAGCCTTTGAGGGCTGAGACCGCACCCTTAAGCGAGAGTTTCGCGCTGGACTCGCGCCCGACGTCTCTTGTCCCAGGTATGGGTCTATAGCGAGCATGTCTCGTGGGGATGGTGCGAGACCTGGAAATTCGGCTCCGTGCTCGATCCCGGAGGCATCACGAGCAACGCATCACGAGACGAACGGACACAGCTCGCGATTTGAGGATATCTACGAGTATATCGTGGATCGATATCAGACCAGGTTCCCAATAAAATGCATTCGCGTTCAACCCCTGCTCCGGACGGCTGTCCGCTACGAATGGTACCTGACGAGCCTTTCTACGCCGTCGAAAGCGATTCCTACGGAAGAAGAAATCGGAACGAAGCGCTCGCGCCTGAGCCTAAATAGTGGTATCATGGTTTCGAGCGTGCCGAGTTTCCGAGATCGATAGATTGATGCAGACTGTATCAGAGATAGAAGTGGCGAAAAGGAGGCCAAGTACGTCCGAGCTGCGAGTCAAGTGTTTGCGTACCGCAAGACCATGGCCAGAGCGATGGGTCTGATCGCTCTTCGGCGAGTCCGAGGCTTTAGTATGGAAGTGATGTTTGAAGGTATAACTGAGCTTGAGCTCCTCTTCCGCGAAGGATGTCCGCCTCATCTCGGAGCTTGTTTGCTTTAAAAGCTCGCGAAATTTGTGACGATCAGGAAGCTTGCAGAAGAATAAGAAAGGAAGGTTTCCTATTCGAGCAGAAAAATTCTGTTTAACTACTGGTGACGAAGTTCACGTTGCATCAAGACCCGAACAAGGGACGGGGACAAAAAACTCCGATCCGAGCTGAAGACGGAAACACGGAAGCTGCAGCGGCAGCATTGGTTGCGGGAAACATTGACTGCAGTAGCAACGGTGTCAGTGGCAGAAAAATCGTTCGCGTCGAAAGCAACTGCAAGAAACTCAGCAAAGGCGAGAACTTGTATGAGAGGCTGTGGTCGGGCGATCTTCGGACGTCGGGATGAGCTCGCCGCCTCCTCGCAATTTCCGCGCGGAACGATATCGGTGCTGCTACCAAGCACCCCATTAGCGAGGGTTCTGATGATCTGCTTCGCATTTTCGGGAAATCTCATCGAGCCTCTTCATTTCCAGTTCCCTTCTCAATCAAGGAAAGGATTGCTTAAAGCAAGAATAGGAACGAAAATGCCTCTTCGGAGATCTCACATTTTCTGAATTTTCGGGGAACCTTGCGCGTGATCGGGTACACTTTCAAGCAGAAGCCGAACGTCAAGAATATTCCAGGATGATCAGCTTTTCAGCGAACAACCAGCGCTCACGGGGACTTGGATGTTCGATGCTTGACCTCGAGCCGATATTTGAGCACCTTCATTTTTCAGCGATGAATCGCGGTCGAGTTTATGACTGGAATCATGCCGACATATTTTCTCTGACAGGTAAGATTGCTCAGCAACTCATGAAGGAGTGGATATTTCCAGAACTTCCGATGCGCCTCGACGACCTACGTATGCATCGCTCTTGGGTCATCCGCGCCGCGCAATATGCACGTCGACATGTACATGTTGTGAGCTCCTTATTGAAGAAGCTCAAGAATGGACAATGGATTATGCGTACTAGCCCACGGGCGCTTGCAGTGAAGAATAGTCTGGGTAGAAATCAGAGCCCTCGGAAACGCGGAATGACCTCAAAAAAAAGGATCGATCGCGGAAGCGAACCCCGGTAGCATTAATGCAGAAATAGAGCGCTCGTTTTCCCGAAGCCTAGTTGCAGGGGATGAGCCCTCGCTTCAGAGCATGCGTTGGAGAGATGATCCTCTCTGAAGGCTTTATCTTGAGGATATTCCCCCTGGGACGATGCGCTCGGGGGATGAGAAAGACTCCCTCTGTTCAGAATATGACGTGAGACCGCTTGAAATCATCGAGCGACGTTTCCATGGAAAGAAACATTCGGCCCTTGGCGAAGCAAATGAGTCCGTCTCACTCTGTGCACAAAAATGTGGGTCGAAAATGAGAAAAGACGGCGCGAACATACAAATACATATACGTTCGACTCATCTACATCGGAGCGAGATGGCCGTTCGGAGCCTATAGGAAACGCCTACAGTAGAGCCTACAGTAGAAACGGACCTAGGTGAGGTCGATTGCCGGTACCATCTGCATTTCTTCTCCATAATCCTACGGAAGCTCTACCAGCTCGTTGACCAGGGGAGTACCACGAGCGGCATGGTTCCAGCGCTGGAAGCAGGTCGCTCTCGTGAACCGGCACGACGCGCGTCGCCGAGTTGAGACCCAGCCTTCCGTGCATCGAGTCAGTGATCGAGATCATTCAAGCGCTTTCTGAGACGAAAGGACATACCACTACATTCCGAACCATAGGTATCCATCCGACTCATTCGTTGATATCGAGACCGATCAATTACTCGAGTACTCGCATTATTCGATCTACTCTCGTAGGGAAGTTGAGGGAACACGCTCTGCGAGTCTCCGAAGCAGGTGTCGGCGGGTTGAATGCCAGCGATGAGCCTCGATTGGGCATGCCCAACCCGACATGCAGGACAGCAATAAACAAGTCTCCGGCAATTGTTGTGCATTGTTTTGTCTCGACACACCAGCTCGTAAATCTGTTCGAGCGAACCATTGCTCGCCGCGTGAACACTTTTGATGCAGGGTAGCAGACTTCGTGGCGTTAGAAGCAGGCTACGGCATATTCTCTTTCTCAGGCTGCCGCCTTATGTATGTACAGTAAGTAAGCAGCGGCGGCGGAAAGAACGTCTAACTCGGGATCGAGAGGCTCGTGGCTCGTAATCTCCAAGCGTGGATGTAGGAGATATAATTCACTGAGCCTCGAGCTGTTAGTCAGCAGGTGTTCTACGTCCCACGCATAGTCATCAGAATCTTATGACTCCGGATCGAGTTAGTTTGATGCTTTGCATCACCAGCAGAATTGCTTATGGCTGTAAAGAAATTGGCCATTTACCCCGGAGGAATGTCCTGCGATAGTAAAAAACTGATTCGGGATGGAGTGGAAAGAAAATGCCCCTGACGCACGAGTCGAGTGCGTTTGTGGCTCGGGCTCCGGGAACCCGACCGACCGGCAAACGAACCACAAGGCTTGGGTCGTATTGCTAACTAATGGTGAATCGCTTTACAGCCGCCAAACCCTTCGCACCTTTTTTGGGTAATTCAAGAGCATTGAATGCAGCAATCGTATCTCTTCGACTGCTACCTTTCCTCCCCTCCCTCCGAAGCCTGCTCTCGGCGCGAGGCCACGAGTGAATCGTTGCCGGCAGGCACTAATGTTTTTCATGCGTCTCTTTTTTGCGGCGATCGAGAGCCGCGTCGGTTTCCAAGCTCCCTTGCATGTCGGGGCCATGGGATCTCAGGGCGGATGTTTTGAATTCTGCTGAGCATATACTCCCGGAAAGACCGAGCAAGCGGCTGTCCACAGACTCATGTGAAATTGTCGCGGCGGAAGAGGAGAATGGTCAGAATGGTTAAATTTCGGGGAACAGGATCTAACGAAGCGCTGGAAATTTCGAAAATGTGATTCATGGAGTTCTGTCTCACGATTCAAGCGATGACATGAGCTCTTCCGAGAGACCATGACAGCAACGAGGACACAGGGAGCTGCTCGATTATTATGGAGGAATTGCACGCGAGGGTTCTAGCACAGCAACGCTAGCGCTTTTGTTCCTGAAACATGGCTCGCTCAAAGGTTGAGTCTTTCAGGATGAGCAGCATGACATATAATTCCGGGGAACAGCGGGTCATAAACGGTCGGTGCCGCATCTATAATTTTCTTCATTCGAGTATCGTGGGAGACGGCGCCTGCCTTGGAAGAAACGTCAGAAGAGGAACGTTCGTTCTTTCGATATCTAAGCCCACAGTGAGGCGAACGGCTCTTCCTTAAAAGCTCCTTCCTCGAAGCAAAACTGTCTCAAAGCTACTCTGGACAAACATGGGTCGCGCGGCCTAGGATTTCGGGGTTCAATCGAGTGCGTATTATTGTATCGTGGAATGACCCGTAAATCTAGATCGGAGACCTGGAGGAGCCAAACCCACTGGGTTTTCCAAGCTTCACTCAGCAGAGACGATTGCAAACAATAAATAAATTTATTAGATCCTAGTATCGGTATTACAATATTTCTCGTCATTGATATTCGTATCCCAATAAGCTTGAATGAAGACGCCTCGCTCGAGGTGGTTTGATCATTCCATAATTCTGCTCAATACCTAGCCAGGTGTGGGTTGTACTGCGAGTTGTACCTGCGGTTACGATCGGTCTCAACTCTTTCCTCTTCTTTGTGCGAGGATCTTGCTGCAAGACTGTCCAGGAACTCCTGAGTCCGCTTGCGTTCTCGTTCCTCGCGATCAAGTCTCTGTTTGCGGAGAATTTCTAGGTTTGCTCTTTTCCGTTGCTTGCGCTCTTCTTCTGACTCCGGGTCAGACTCGGACGAAGGCGATTTCCTGCGTTTCGTCTGTGACTTATGCTTCGAATGTTTCCTACGTTTCCGGCTGCGTTTCCTGCACAAATCGCTAGTATCACCCGAGCTCGACGAGTACGAGGCGCTTCGGCCTTTCCTCCGACTCTTCTCCCTCGAAGATCCGGCCGCTACCGGGGAGACAAAATCGTTCTTCTTCTCGGCTGCGTATTCCTCGACCTTCCTCTTCTTCGGTACCATATGCAACTGAGATTTGGCGTATTTCGGGAAACTAGCCATCGGATCAAGAGCGTCCTTCATGCGTTGTTGTTTAGCACTTAGCTCAGCTGAAGCTTCGACGGTTTTCTCATTCTTCTGGTAGAAGCGCTGCTCCTCGCTAGTGCTCTGGCCCAGGTACTGAAGGATTCCGACTTTCTTCTCCCAATCCTCAACCTCACGCTTCTTGTCTAGTTCAGCCTCGGCGTTGGTCCCGTGGAATTTCCCTTCGTGAATTTCGATGTCGCGGAAGAGGTTCAGGTGTCCCGCTCCGCTGCTGCCACTAGGGTTAACGATGGAGACGTCGATGACGTCGGGTGATCTAGCGGTGTCGCACTTGTCAGCGTTTCTCTTTCTGAGAACGTCTAAAGAAGCTTCAAGTTCGGCGACCTTGGCCCTCTTCTGAAGCTCCTTCTCTTTAGCCGCGGCTTCCGCTTCATCCTTACGAACTCGCTCGATGTTCTTCTTTGTGCGGACATGCCAACTTTTCTTCGGGAGGATATTCATGGCAACACTTCTTGGGATGAATGTCTATGACGTACGGATTCACAGAACGACGGGTTCTCAATTCTTCGCGAGAGTCGCGCTAGAGGCTACCGCGATTTTCTCCTCGTCTTCGTAGGGAAAGTCTTCGGGGTTGTAGATCACTTTAACAACCAGCGAGCAGCTAGGACATGTTGCCACCTCTTCGCCGTTCTGGAAGTAAAAGCAGAACTTAGCGGATGGGAAAAATGGGGAAAAATGAGCGTCTTCCCCCGGAGCGTTCGCAACGTGGTAAAATGTCGGTACGCGATAGATATCCGAGTACGAGGACCATGCTCGGTGAGCTTGGGGAGGCCCAAGGCGATCTGTCCACGCGAAGTCGGTCTTGAGAAAAGCAGAATCGGCCGGTCAGGGAGTCAGAGCTGGAGGGGAAGGAGCGGGGAGATATAGAAGGATGATTGGGGACTTTCCATCGATGATATTTTGTTTCTGTTTGAGCTCATACACAAGAGCCGTTGGAGAGAGGCTGACGTGCCCAAGGGGAGGTCCGTATGGGGAGTTCGGGAGGAGAGCGAGCGAGGAGCTCTGCATATTCACTGAACGGCCGCATTGAAATGAATGGGAATCTGATATCACGTGAGCGAGCGGGCAGGCTGTTTCCACGCGCAAGAGAACTGCTCGATAGCAAACGCGAGGAGTGCCGAGAGTCGCCTACTAACTCGCAGCCGAACATTTAGAGCGCAGCTCCCTGTAGTCGGACATCAGTGGAGAAGGATGATGCTCACCTGGAGGTCGAGTTTGGTGATTACGAAGCGATCTCCACACGGACACGGGAAGAAATAGCTCTCGGACTCCTCATCGTATTCAAAGTCCTCGATTTCGACTTCGTCATGATAAACCGACATTCCAAGCGATACGAATATTTCATCGCATCGAGTTGGCTTTTCGATTCAATGAGGCGGGCGGGGCTCGCAGTAGAAACTTGGCGAATTCTGATATCCGGCGTTCCCCCGTGACGCAAGAACGGAAAACCACAACTCGAAAACGTTCCCCTAGAATTCCAAACAAGACGGGACAGAAAACGTTTGGGAGTTCGACACCCCGGAGAAAACCGAGGCGTGTCGAGGATGGCCCGCGGCGCGGAATTCGAATATCACGAAAAGGGCGGGCGACCCGCACATCGCTCAATAGTGACGAATGGGAGCCATCCCGGCGGGATCTGACTCCCCCTTATCAAACTCTCCCCAATGATACTGAGTGAGGAAAAAGTTGCGCAGAGCTGATTCACAGGCATCAAGCTATACACCACACAGAGAGTGTGAGTCGGGGGTGCAGAAAATGAATTGTTAGCGGCTCCTCGTTGCCCGCTGGGGAAATCCCGGCCGGGATCGGCTGGTTTGCCTGTTCATGCATTCACTCGTCACTGATCGCATACGAGGAAATCGGATCGGAAGAAATTATATTGTCCTAATATACGCGTGTATTGACCTCATACCTGCTGATCTAGTTTACTGACTTTCCCCGACTTGAGTCGTGGGCTCGCCGTTCAAGAATCATCGAGTAGTGTCGCACATTCCCCCTGATTTCCCTGACGGCCACACATACCTCAGGAAGCATTCATCTGGAATTATGCTGAAACTCCAGAATAGTGTGACCTCGATGCTGTGCTCCAGGAATCTACCGGTTGTATCCGAAAGAAGACAAAAACGACTGACTAATTCACAAAATTTATCATTGAATAAATTGATCCGATTTTTTATGAGTAGTTACAATTCATAATGAGCTAGCGTCACCTCCATGCACAAGAATGATCGTATGGAAATCATTGAGAAAATAACTAATGAATCAGTATGTCGGGCTAGGCTTGTATCTATTTGTTCTATGATGTTTGAAGTTGTTGCAGCATGATAGTCTAAGTAAGTCTGAATCCCTAAAAGAATCGGAGAGTTCATCCCGGTCACTGCGAGATGGGTGCAGTTCGAGTCATCCACTGCTTGATCAGTCGGCGTCGTCGGAGTCTTCGACCTCATTGAGCAAGGCGAAAGAACCTCCGGTATGAAGATCCCTCTGTTTCATCTATCATCTCGCCCATTTCCCAAAAAATACAAAGCAGTTCAATCCTAAGGAAATCACCATCCCCACAAAGGCGAGCCCCGACGTGATGAATGGCCATGAGAAACCCTTCCGTGGTAGATTAGCCTCCGTATATTTTCCTATATGCAGATGAGTGGCGTTGAATCGATCCCTGTTGAAGGCTGCCACCTCGACGTTGAACCTGCGGAAAGGAGCGCGATGAGACGACTGATCTCGAAACCCTAAATCACCATTCCACCCGCTCCCCGAGCGAATGAGCCGAACTTACTTGATTCCGGGCCGGTAATCTGTAATGAGGACTGTACGCCTAGCACGGTCCACGAATTTCTTCTTTTCGTCTTGGTAGGCCCCGAAATCAAGCCAATAGCGAATCAGGTAGCCGTCGATTGGACCTCGAGGCTCGTCAGGTCGTGGCCATGCTACTCTCAATGCTCCCGACGGGATGGGTGTAGCTTCCACAAATCTGAGGGGTGACGGTGCTGGAGAAAAGCGTATTCTCTTAGACCTCAGAAAAGGAGAGAGCTCAGGTCCCGCCTCGAAACGGGTTCTGATGGTGTATCGAATGAAGATCCTGTATGAGAAGGAAATAATTACCCGCAACGTTGGAGATGATTGTGAATTCGGAGAAATTTCCACAGGTAACCACCTCTGATTTCTTGTAGGTCAAGCAAGTGCGTATCTTGTAATAGAGGTCGTGATAGGGGGTCAAGCCAAACGCTTCGGCTAAGCCAGGTCCGAGGTACAAATGTTTTGTTTTCGTGAAGAAGCCTTCCTCGAAAAGCTCGTGGAACACTACTTTGAAGCGAACTGCGCTGGCGGTTCTTTTGACGACTTCGACGCGGAGCGGTTTTGCTGGAAAAGGAGCTCAGGATCAGAAGTGTCCGAGGATTTCCTCGAGACTGTCGTGGATATCTCACAAGCTTCCGAGCTGAGAATATTCAGGATAACTCACGCGGAGGGCATCTGTCCGCTCCCATGGCTCTGAGCGTTCCAGGGATCGGGTACGGCGGAGAGGAGCTCTCGCCAGTCCCTATGTGCATGTCATAAGCACCTTTGTCCTCGTAAGGGACGCGAGGGGCGATACCATACCTGAAAAGTACTCGTCGACGTATAGGGAATCGGGAATGAATTCGGACTCCCAGGCTGCCTCCATGGACTCGAGGAGCAATTCCGACCGCACATAATATAGAGTACTCTCAACTCACAGAGGGTATTGCATTCCAATGTTTTTGTCGGCCACGAACACTTCATAGTAAGCGACCGGTCCGTTCTCCACCATCGGGCTTATCCAGTCGAGTTTAACTCTGTCGCCGTCCAGCACGCCACGAACGTTTCTCAGAATCCATTGGGCTGGGTATGTTCTAGAATATCCTTCATAAGGTTCACTTGCGTGCATAACGCGGTCTACGATAGGCGCATAGAAGACGGCGATGACCCGGACCAAGAAGCGCCTGTTGTATCCGATCGGTATTCTGACGGAATAATCGTTCTGGCCGCTCCGTATCATATCACAGGCGCCATCTCGAATGCAGAATTCGATGTCGAAGTGCTGCAGCCATGTCTGATCGTCCTCTTTCGGGAACCTCCATGACAAGCACAGGACGGTGTCCTCGTCTCCCCTCATAAACGAGACGGACGAGATTTCCGGGGTCTGGAGCTCTGCGGGAAGAGCACCATCAGTGAATGTGTCAACAAACATCCTCGCCAGTATTGTCGAGACGGAATCCGAACGCTTCGGCCCACCTGGTTCAATGGCGAATGAGGTTCCGATAGAGTGACTCTCCTGCCAACCGTAGTGTGATGCCTTCAGACTCACGGTGTACCTCGTCGCAGGTACCACTCGGTCGAAGAGGTACTGGAACGGCGGTCTCCTGAAGCGGAGGGGGATGACGAACGGGGCCATGAGTTGAGGATGGAATTCAAGGAGAAAGTTCACGTCCCACAACTTGATATCTGCGGGCTCTTCGAAACTCCATTGGAGTAGAACACTTCTGTTGCCGATGCGTAACGATGTCAGATTCGAGGGGCCGGGGAGCCTGATGAAGACTGCAAGAGGGAATGAGATATCGAGACTGCATATATATCCACGGCGGATCACCGAAGCCGAGCCGAATTCACGATCTTCCCCGAGCGAACTCACAGACGTTGCTTCTCGGAGATTGCGCTGATATCACGCTGGCGATGCAGAGCACCGTAAAGACGAACTTCCACATGTTGCCACGACCTCAAGCAGCTCTGATTCGGGCGATTCTTCCTCAACACGTCATCACGGGAGCACAGAGGAGCATCCGGCGGGGACAATGCGGAGGTTCGAGGAATGGCGCCCTGACTGCCGCTTTCCAGCTGTCAGGTTTGCCGAAATCGACAAGTACTCGCATTTGGATTCAAACGTGCATCCATTCTCGAGGACGTCCGCGTATGGCGTGGGTTCAGGTGACGTCAACACATTTAAGACCCAACACCTGCGGTGGGAGCAGGTAGATCTGGACCTCGCGACTCCGATGTCGTCCCTACCGGGGTAGGTAGGGAGAGCGAGTGACCGCGATTTTCCATTGACGCTCTCGACGCAGCCCTCACCACATCTACCAGTATAGCATATATATATCTCATCTGCCGCCAGCTGCGAGAGAGCTTCCAGCGATGAGGAGTTCTTCTTCCCTTCCTTCGAGCGGCAATGGGACAAGGAAGCCAGACAGATTTCTCCATCAGGAGCATCGGGAGACAGAGATCATGGAAATATGTGAGCGATCTCGGATCCTTAATGTACAGCTTTGCTCGGGTGAGGCTCAGGACTCTCGACAATGGACTCCCACGCAAGCTGAACGAAAGAATCGATTTCCAGACAACGATGATGGGCAGGATCCGGGCAAGGAGATTCGAGCAGACATGCGAGATTCCCTTGATCAGGAATTCGTCTCCTTCATTCGCGCTGATACCGCTCGCGGTAGCACTCCTAAGAATCTCGAAACACTCAAAAGTAAACACATAAGATGTATAATCTCATTTCTTGTACTTTATTCACGAATCGATTAAGATGAATTAAGTGCAGTCAAATCCCACGCTTGATTTAGAATAACAAATTTCCTACACAAAGAGTCAATAGAATCAAAATCTATAGATTGGAGGTCATTGGGTGAATTCTCTGCCGAGATACCACCGCGATCGAAACGCGACAATGTAGGACACAAATGTGTCATTCGCTGGAAAACTCAAAATTCAGGAATGAGATTCGTAGGAATCCCTTCTGAGAGCCCATGGAATAAGTGATACTGGGGCTCAATTTCGGGCTTCTTCGCGGCACAGCCTTTGAGCCCACGGAGGGGCCTTCAATTTCCGAAGGCAGGCATGCCTTGAAGCTCGAAAGCCTCATTTTGCGCAACTCTGTACCCTTTAGGACACAAGATCAAGAAACCCAATAATGAAGCGAAGAGGCCAGCCGTGAATAAGACGCTCACGGCATAATGGAACGCCAGTTGCAATCGGTTGTCCACAATGCTCGTATAGACTACCTTCCCGCTGAACTCTATCTTCGGATCGTCCAGATCCTGATTGAAGGCGGTCACCCCGATCTTATACCTGAAATATTACGGTCAGTTCACTACGCATCCGTGATTTGAGGGGTTGTGGGACACTCTTATAAATCCTCATCTGTACCTAAACGAGGAGGCGCGAGCCTCCATAGAAGATTTCTATGAAAGGCTGAAGGAAATTGGAGATATGCTCCGTTCATAGCGGAAATCAGCCAACTCACAGCTTCCATCGCTTGTATTTGATGACGTAATATGATCGCTGGGTAGGCAGGACGTCGACGTGTGTCTTGATTGATTCCCCTGCATACGTTTCCTCTACGTAGACTCGGTAGCCATTGATGGGGCCTCGAGGATTTTCCGGAGCCTCCCAAGAGATTCTGACGGATACCAGGCTCGTCATTTCCGCTGCCAGACGTTGTACAGGAGAAGGCTCTACATACGAATATCGAGGGATGGATGTTAGTGTATATTGTAGGTTCGTTCTAGAAAGTCTCGAGAGGGAGTGTGTATATGTACTATTCAATGCGGAGAAAGTCACCTCCGACATTAGAAAGGAGTTGAAAGTCCTTGAATTCCCCACAATCATCTTCTGATTTTTCTTTGAAGGTCAGGCAGTTGCGTATCTTCATCTGGAAATACTGGTAGTTCTCAAGAGAGAAAATGTTCAGCATGTTCGGTCCGAGGTAGAGGAATCGTTCGCTTCTGGATTTGTCGATTGTGTGGTAGTTGTCGAAGGAGGGGTTTGTGAATATGATCCGGAATCGAACCGCATGCTTCGCTTTCTTGACGATCACGAGGAGGAGTGATCTCTCTAGGAGGGGAGAAATTCAGAGATGAGCGGCTATGGATGATTCCGAACGCGAGGAGGTCTCCTTTTCCCTCTCGACCGAAATGGCGCGTCTGGTGGAATCTGCACTTCGTATCGTCGTTCGAACGCATCGATCGCGATCCAGACGTAACGTGAAGAGACTATGACAACGGCATTTCACTTCTGACTCACCCGCTTGGCATTTGTTAATGTCGATATCGGGAAATTTCCCGAGGTAGCCGTAGTCCCTCCCGTCGGAGCTGAGAGCTATCGGGCGCAACTCGTAGACGGTTCCGCTCGCGAAATCAGGAGGTCTGGATGCCGCAGGGAGAGGGGCAAGGGTTTTGCTGCAATTCGTATACCGTGTGTGATGCGGGTGGATCACGACGATGTTAGAAAATAGATGTTTGAGGTTTGAAAAGCAGCTCCCGGAATCTACTCACTCGAACATGTCCTCTTCGTTATGCGGATCAGACAGGAAGATCTCGTAGTAGCTGATCGGACCGTTCGGAGCGACCGGGAGATGCCACTTGAGTTGGAATTTATTGCCAATTTGTACGGCTGCGACCGTTTTGGAAGATCTTCCTGGATCGCCCCTTCCCGTAGCTTGATGGAAGCTCGGGCTCTCCCGTCTCACTTGGTCGAGTATCGGCGTAGAATAGAAAGCGCCGACGACGATGGTAAACGTCGAGCCGTAGTCGATGTACAGCGTCGCATTGTTGTCTTCAGGTTTTATCCTCGTGAAGTAGCAGTGCATATGACACATTTTGATCTCGTAGTGCCGGAGCTCTGCCATTTTCGGTTTCAGGCTCCATTCTACGAGATACTCGACGAAATTCTCTTTATTGGTGGAGGAAACATGGGTAATCACCGGGCTCGGCCAATCTGCAAGAGCGACTTCGTTCATATAACCGAGATCGACTCCTGGATTGCTCAATGATCCAACAAGCCTAAATTATCGAACGCACCTTTTTCCATGGTCTTGAAACCTCTGAAAAGGACTTCGCTGTCTCTCCAATTCGGAGCAATCGCTGAGATGAACAATTGATACCTTTTCCCTGCTGTGAGTTCATCGAGGTCGAAGATGAATGGCTTAGACGGGAATTTAGGATGGAATTCCCGTGTCTTCGAGCGCGCCGATTTGAGAACCAGCTTGAACTCCACTCCGCGGCGAGCGGAAAAATTCGCTGGAGTTTCAAAGTCCCACTGAACTCTCACATGCCGTTCGTTCACATGGCCTATTCTCACTCGGCTTGGTTTACTGAGCTGCGGAAACGCTGTAGAGAACGGAATGAGTTAGATCGAACACCGATCTGCTCCTGGAGGAGCTCGTATTCGGATAGAGTGCGACGATCGGGTCCCGAGGAGCTTCGCACGATCAGATCGCATTTCCAGCATGGAAGATATTGACTTAAAGAGGCAGGACGCTCACCTTTGTCGATCGCTTGCACTGCAGTCGCAGCAAACACGATTAGAAGAACGAATTTCCACATCACGTCTAGCCCAGTATGAGCGTGGGCTCGGGGAAGTGGGCCACTCAGGGAGGGCGAACCCTTCCTGGAAGTTTCGGGAGAGACGATCTTGGGGTGGATTTCGAGCTTATCACAAGCAACGAGTCCCTTCTACAATATTCCCTGCTTCTATCCCTGTAGACCGCTCAGTTTTTAGAGCGGGCAACGTCGGAATGGAGACTCCCGACGAACACTCAGCGACATGTGCACCGGGTTAAGGTGCACGCATTGGAATTATTCACCAACTCTCACGCGGTGCCGGGAACATCCGCATCAGTCGATACCTAGTCAATCGGCGCTTCGATATCACCTACCCGAAGAACTGGCTTGAGAATCCAAGTTTTTGAATTATCTCTCGAATACGCTAACGTACTTTGACCAATCAGACTCCCGATGTCGACCACGGTCGAGATGAGGGCATGTTACCCTTCAGAGATCTGCACACTCCGTCTCTGTCGAACTGAGAGCCGTAGGTTTCGTTCCTTGAGCTCGGCGAGGTCTCTCCGAACGAGCTCCCGAGGATGGAACTCACCATCAGTCGTGCCTTTGATGGGACTCATATGTAATGTTAGAATTGAATTGCTGAAATCGGGCCGTCATCGTCCTCGCGGGCGATAGCGGTCAATCGTAGGACAAGCATGTGTCTGGATGAAGTTTTTCCGTCCCCCGCACCTTGCGACCTCCCGGGAGTCCTCAAGAGCTTCAAGCGACACACAAGCATACGATCCGTCATGCAGTTCCCGACTCTTCCATTCGGTAGAGAGACTCGATGTCCGACGAAAACCGCGTGCTTCGCTCGTGGCCCTTGCCAGCAATGAAGCAACCGACTCGAACTCGGAGGAAGACGATTAGCGAAACTTGAGCGCGCAGAGATCAATAAAGGAAACTATCGAGTTTGACTCAATAAGATCAGGGGCTATGTTCTGACAGACTCAGAGTCAAATTCAGGGGTGACTCCCTAAATGGACGGGACGCGGTTTGACTCGCAAGCGGCCTGTGTTCGCCCCACGAGGCGGGCGTCTTCGCGGAGGATCCACCAAAAGAGTTTCCGCAGCTTAGGAATTCCGAATTTCGTACTTTATTCACAAATTAATTAATTTCAGTCTTATTCAGTAGGATGTCTCGATCAAACAAACAAATTTCTGCACAAAAAAATCACTTAAATAGGAATCAATAGAATCGAGGTTTAAAGTTGGATCTCTGCCGAGACTTCACGGCGTGCAGATTGCGACAATCTAAAGCAGAGACGTGTCATTTCGCTCCGGGGCAGTGTTCTCAGAGAAGAGACATGGATGTCTTTGTAGGAGATCTGTCATGGAATTCGGGCTGATGCCTCCCGAAAGCCCAAATCACGGCTTGACTCGAAGATACAACTCAGATTTGAGCTCCGCGGTTGACTCCGAAGGCAGGTCTGCCGTGGAGCTCGAAGTGCACATCTGGCGCCACTCTGTTCTCTCGCGCGAGTCTGCCGAAGAAGAGGAACGCCAGGAAAAGGAGGGCCATGCCGCAGATTGGTACAAGTACGACATAGAAGGATTCTCCCGAACCCGAGTCCGGGAAAACCACGTAGACCATGTTTCCATGCAGTTTTATCTCAGGATCGTCCAGATCCAGGTTGAATGCGGATACTGCGATTTTATACCTGCAGGAGGAGGAAGAGTGAGGTACCACGCCGTTCATTCGCGCGTTCGACGCGCCGTTCCATCTACGGAATCTACCGCACTTACGTTTTCCGTGGATCGGAGCGCTCGAGGGTGAAAGACCGCGCCGATCTCGGGAGATGCTTTTCGTACGTTTCTTCGATGTTGTCGTCTAATGACGTTTGGACAAGGAGCTTGTAGCCGCTGACGGGCCCGTTGGGATTGACGGGTCTCTTCCAAGTGATCATTATCAACGTGCCGTTTGTCGAAGGGTGCACCGCGAGATTCCGGACAGGCGATGGTTCTGAAGAGACAGGATCCCATCAGTCTCCACAGACCGGAGAACCAAGACCCCGAGAAAGATGTCTTATACATGGGATCGAACGGATGCATTTGTTCCACGGAGCACGATTACTTGTAACGTAGGAGAAAGTCTTGAATTCAGTGCGATTCCCGCAAGAGTCTTCCGGGGATAATATGCTGCTCACGCATACGCGTATGCGGTAACGGAGATACTCGTAAGCCGTCAGGCCGAAAGCCTCAGCGGCCGATCCGAGGGAGAGGAACCTCAGGGAGGTATCCGAGTCCTCTGGAGGTCCGAAGGTCATGGATAACTGTCGGAAAATGATTCTGAAGTGGACTCCGCTTTCGGTTCTATTCATGACCACGAGGAGTGGACCCCGACCTGGAAGCAGAATTCGAAACGAATGAGCAGGAGGATTTACGCGGATCCCCTGCAGAACTATGGACAATGCGTCACGATTGGAATTACTGACGAGGTCTGCACTGCTCCTCCGTCCAATGATGGGTGTCCCCTGTGAGAAATATTTCGGGGTCGATTTCCTTCGGTATACTGCGGAACTCGTAAACGGAATTGTCTTTGAGGCGGGGACGGGATTGAAGACGATCGCTGCGGGGATTCGAATTTTTGCGTCAAGTCATCTGTCTCGAAGCGAAAATCTCAGAGAGGCAGGATCGCTAAACGAAAGTTTTCGCAAACTCAGAGCCATAATCGTATGTCTACTCACGGGAACTTCTTCACCGCAGGTTCGCGCACAAGAACATCGTAGTAGGCGAACATTCCCGTTTGCGGTCGCAATGGGATCCATGGGAGTCTGACGCGGTTTCCATCCTGCTCGCCGCGGATATTCTTGAGGATCCAGAGAGGTGGTATCGGTCCGGAATCACCGACGTAAAGTTTGCTGGGCCGCTCGATGACTTGCGTGTCGGGAACGAAGTAGACTGCGATTACTTTCACCGAGAAATTTATGTCGTACTCGATGGGTATGTTAGCGGTCGAGTCCTCGGGACCGCGACTGATTTTGAGACACGGACGTCTCCCTTCACAAATTTCGATATCGTAGTGATGCAGCCACTGCATCTTCCTTGGCATGCTCCAGATCAGCAAGTATTCGGCGACCGCTTCGTCTTTCGTGGGTGCGATGAACGAAATCAGTGGCGTTGCATAATCTGCGGGAGATTGAATGAGAAGGCTCACAGGCTCTTATCGACTCCGCTCGTCTCAAATCGGAGATACAGCTCTCTGACGAACCCGTTTCCAGAGTGACGAATGAAATTCCGGCATTATCACTATCCTGCCAAGCGGGACTCGAGGCTTTCAGGGTCAGAGCGTACTTCGTCGCAGGCACGAGGTCGTGCACGCGATAAACGTACGGCTCAACTCGGAAGATCCGGAAGAAAGATTCAGTGCGTAGTCCGTCACTTGCGAGCTCGATGGAGAATTTCACTTTTAGCAGGGAGACGTTTGAGGGTTTCTCGAAATTCCATCGTATTATCACGCTTTTGTCGGAATCCTTCGCAATCCGCACGTTTGTCGGAGTCGGTAGTTTGGGAAGAGCTTTAAGAGGCGGAAAAACAAACGAGACGTGAAGACGGATAGCTCTGGTTCGCGTGGTCTGGTTCGATTGTTCGGCCTGCGATTCCAAGATTCGGACTCACCCTGAAGCTGGGACTCTCCCTCTGAGCAAATCGCTCCAGTTATCCAGATCGCTAAGATCGCGAGTTTCAACATTTTGTGCCTCTCCGACACGAAAATGCCTTTTCTGAATCTCAGCTGCCACGCCGAGATTCTCGTCCCTCGGAGCCGTCGAACGAATATTATGAGTTCGGTCTCCGGGAACTACTTTTTTAAGAATAGGCAGTGAGGAGTTTGAAACTGCACCTTCCCAGCTATTGAGCCGTTCGAAATTGTTAAGAGCTTCCACGTGACGCTTCGCGTTTGCCGGGTCTCGATGACACGTTCGAACATCGTGCGACTTATGCTGAATGTTCGCGTCAGCTGCTGCAGGAGGGAGGGGCATCCGCAATGATGTGATGGAATACGCGAACGAGACGGAGTCGTTTTCCTGCCCGATCCGCTTGAGAGCTCGCTCGCATGAGTCGCGGAATCTCGGCCCCGCAGAATCGACCCAAAATTGGGCAATCCACCAGAACAGAATACTAATCTCGCAAGCAGGAGAGATGGACTGGATGCACAGGGCTTTTCCACATCATAATCGAGCACTCTTCGTTCACGGAGCGAAATCATCGTCGCCACTGTTTTCTGGTCATTGATGAGGCCCGTATCGAACGGGGTGCGATCCTATTCTCCCCGGAGAAGCCCCGACGGGAACTCTCATAGCTCTTGAAGTTCAGTGCATGTACTCTATTCACAAGTTTAGTGCATGTACTTTATTCACAAGTCCAGTCACATAAGTTGAATACTGTCAAACTCGTCGTGCGCACGAATAAAAATTTCACAAAGAATCGCTTAAATAAAAATCAGTAGATTGATTGAGTTCTCAGCCGACATTCTGCTGCGCTCAGGATGCGACAATGGAGTGCGGAGATCTGTCATTCCGGCGATAGATTCGAAATTCAGAAATCAGAGCTTGGATTCCTCCGAGGAATCCCATAGAATAAGTGGATGGGAGAAGCCCCGACGGGAACTCTCATAGCTCTTGAAGTTCAGTGCAGGTACTCTATTCACAAGTTTAGTGCATGTACTTTATTCACAAGTCCAGTCACATAAGTTGAATACTGTCAAACTCGTCGTGCGCACAAATAAAAATATCACAAAGAGTCGCTTAAATAAAAATCAGTAGATTGATTGAGTTCTCAGCCGACATTCTTCTGCGCTCAGGATGCGACAATGGAGTGCGGAGATTGGTCATTCCGGCGATAGATTCGAAATTCAGGAATCAGAGCTTGGATTCCTCCGAGGAATCCCGTAGAATAAGTGGACGGGAGAGCTTGCTCTAGATCTTGATGGTGGCACGAGACTGACCTTCGAGCATCGGTTTCAATTTTGGAAGGCTGCCCTCCTCTGCTGCTTGAACCCTTCACCTCACACTCGTGTCCTTCTATCATGTAGAGTGCATCCGACAAAACAGAGTGTCGACGAAAAAAGGAAGATCACGCTGAAGACCACTATAGCCGAAATATGGAAGAGTGTTTCTTCCATCTTCTGTTCGTGGATGACCGTGCGGGTCGCCGGTCCTTCGAACTCGATCTTGGCATCTTCCAGGTGTCGATTGAATGCCGTGACCCCGATTCTATACCTGCAATGCCTCGTCCATTCCATTTCGAATCCATAGGGGAACGAGACGCATATCCATACCGATCTGGCACGCGCACCGAGTGTGATCGGGTTTTATGCGCTCTTCAAGTCAGAGAAATCAGCCAACTTACTCCACCCGGTGCTTATATTTCTTGATCTGGTACTCTCGTTGGTCAGCTCCGAGCTCGACCTGTCTCTTGTGTTTCTTCTCGGCTTGGATCTCCTCTACGTAGACTCTATAGCCGTTGATCGGGCCTCGGGGAATAGCTGGGGGCTCCCACGTGATTCTCAAGGATACTGTCACCTCTACTCTTAGATTCTGGACCGGAGAAGGATCTATATCGAGGAATGGATTCCGCTCAGAGAATCTGTTTCAAAGACTCGAGCTTCTTGGGACGGATTCAATGTAGAAGTTAAACAGTTGATTCCCTGTACCTCCGACATTTGAGAGCATTTGGAACTCCTTGAAATTCCCGCAATCATCTTCGGACTTTTCTCGGAAAGTCAGACAATTGCGTATCTTCATCTGGAAGTACTCGTATTTCTCTAGAGCGAAGAGGTCTAACATTAGCGGTCCGATGTAGAAGTATTTTTTGCTCTTGAAAGAATTAAGGAAAGGGAGGTTCATGGGAACGATTCGGAAGCGAACCGCGTGCTCAACCCTCTTGATGATAAGGAGGAGGAGCAATCTCTCTGAAAGGGAAAAATCGAGGGTGATGAGATCCAAGGAGAATTAATCTACTTCCAGCCCCTCGCAATAATTCAGATTCGACCCTGGATCGGAATGGCTCGTCCGACCAGATCCGCTCCTCCATCGTTTGTCTCAGATCAAGCGCAATATCACTACGGGATAGAGCGACATGGCGAGAAGAGGATATGACATCGTTCCTGACTCACCCGATGAGTAGTTGTGGATGTCGATATCTCGTAGTCTTCCCAGGTAGCTGAAGTCATTCCCGTCGACACTGAGTGAATTCGGCTGCATTTCGTAGACGGTACCGCTCGCGAATGCCGCAGGAACGAATTTCTCGGGGAAGAAGGGAAGGCTCGTGCTTCGATTCCGGCGAGAGAAAGAAAATAAAAGAATCACGACCATGTCAAATGAGAATAAACATTCGGAGGTTCGAACGGCAGCTTCCTATCTCGTCACGAATGGACTCACTTGTACATGTCCTCCTCGTTATGCTGATCAGATAGGAATACTTCATAGTAGCTGAGCGGACCATTCTTTGGGAAGCGTGGATTCAACTTGAGTTGGACTCTATGGCCAATCTGTACGGCCTCGACCACTTTTGAAAACTCTTTTGGATCGCCCTCATTCGTCGATTGACTGAAAACTTCGCTCTCTCGTCTAAACGCGTTCAGCTGCGGTGTAGAGTAGATAGCAGCAATGACCATGGTGAAAGTCAAGTCATAGTCGATGTTGAAAGTCGCGTTGTTGTCCTGAGCTTTGATCATCACTAAGTGGCAGTGTAAGTGGCACAGTCTTATCTCATAAAGCTGGAGCTCTCTCAATTTCGGTTCCAAACTCCATTGCACGGAATACTCCACGGAGTTCTCTCGATTCGTGGAGGAAACATCGATTATCACGGGGCTCGGCCAATCTGCAAGCGGCGCCTCGTATAGGTTGTCGAAATTGATTCCTGGAGCGACGAAATCGCCCGAAATCTTCAATTTCCGAACGAACCTCGATCCATGGTCTTGAAAGTTTCGCGAACGAGTCCACTGCTCCTCCAGTTGGGAGCCGTCGCTCTAATTGACAAATCATATCTCCTCGATGGTGAGAGTCCATGGACATCGAAGAGGAGCGGCGCGGACGCGAATTTAGGATAGAATTTGCGTGTTTTTAAATGCTTGGATTGGACAATCAGCTCGAACTCTATTCGGCGCACAGACAAGTTCGCGGGAGGCTGGAAGTCCCACTCAATTCTGATATGCTGATGGTCCACATGGCCAATGCCCACAATTCTCGGTTCATTGAGCTTGGGAAATCCTGTGAAGGACGAGATCAGTGGGATGGAAGTAGAATTGGGGGTATGTTTCAGTCTCCGGGAGCCGCTCAAGCTCATATCGAGTTTATCGTTCGGATTCCGGGGGGCTCCGGCATAGGTATCGAGCTGATGAGCGGAAACACTCACCTGTCTTTATCGCCAGGACGACGGTCGCAGCAGACACAATGATAACAACGGATTTCCACATCACGCCGAGCCCAGAATGAGCACGGACTTCGTAGGAGTACCTTTTCCGGGAACGAGACCTCGTCGTACGTTCGTCCGTGATCTGGAAGCGGACCTCCGGAAATTTTCAGCTGAGGAGTCCCCTCTACAGAACTGTGAGCGTTTATCTCCGTCGATCACTCAGTTTCTAGAACGCTGAGCCACGGAACGAAAATACCATGATGAACGTTCCACGGAATGCAAACCATGCTGAGGTGCACGTAGCCGTTGGTATTTACTCATCGGAGAGGGAGAAGTCCTCGTCTGCTTCCCCTGAAGTAATCCGCTGACGGAGATTCCGTGCTTGATTTCCACCTACTGGCGGAATGGGGTCAAATACATACAGTTGACGACACTCGACATCCGAGCAAGTCTAAAACGGAAGCGCGTGAAGTGCTCCCGAAAATCTTCTCTGGAGTCAATAGCGTCATACGACTCCGGCACTAACCGTCAAGCTGTTCGTCCGCGTCCATCGAGGCTGCTCCAGGGATTTATCTCCGCCATTCGGCTCTGGCCGCCCAAGAAACTTTGAGTCGTGATTCGATCCGCAGCTACTGTCGGCGGATTGAGTTGCGATCCGCGCGTCCGCCTTTCGAGAAGTTTTCCGGAGAAGATGCATAAAATATCTCGATACGGATTGTGGATTTTCGCGGGAGCACTCCATTCTTTGCCACGCGTCTCAGACTTGCGCGCAGCGGAGATTGGTCCACACTGACCGAAACCCGCCGAGCCGACCAGATGATCGCTCTCGTAGGAACCTAGCAGCGCGTCGCATCGGAAAACTCTCGCTAGTAGATGACGGTGGGAGGCTGTCCTCGCGAACACAGGGTACCGATTGGTTCGAACGAAACCCTCCGGCGGAGCGGCGGCTCCCTCCGTCGATCGATCGCCACAGACTCCAGAGCTCATGCGATGAACGGAACTTCGGAGAAGGTCGCAAGAGGAGCTCGTTCGCGTCTAAGAAAATGTGGTACACGGGTTCCGCCAGAGATCGTAGAGAAAATCTGACGGAACAGAGCCTAATACGAGGATTTCGAAAGGAGCTCATAGAAATTTTCAGCTGTCACAATGTAATTTATTAGCCGCTTTGGAACAGCGGGAGGAATCACAAAAGTCAAAACTCGTTAATTTCATTCAGGTATTCAGAATTTGGATAACCATGAATTCATCACTCAACTTCAAAAATCTATCAATAATGAATCACAATTTAGGTCAGAGAAGCAAACTTGCTTAAAATACGATCTCTCCTCTATCAGGAACTCCATGGGATACGCTTTTGAAGGCACTCCGTATTGAAGTGCTTCATCGCCGCCGGAGAGCCATCACCTTCCTCGAGCTGTCCCACCGGAATTACTTCGTCTCAACGGGAAGCAGGGCTGCTGCCGCGCACGGATGCTACCGTGTCGTGAGAATATGTTCCTCACGAAAGCTCTGATTCCACCGGATCTCCCGATCTTGATGCGCAGCTTGAACGGGCCGATACCGCTCGAGGGTTGCTACCGTCGAGTATTTCGGGATCGTCGTCATTAGCGAGTGTAGCGTCGCGTTCCCTCCTCGTGTCGGAATCCCCCTCAATTTCCTCCTGATAGTCGGCAAGATCGGAGGGGGCATCGTGTTTGTGCCTGTAACGGACGCAGTAATACATCGGCCCCATGATCAGCAGTGTCCCCAACACTCCCGAGACCGTGTAAGGCCACAGAGATGGAGGCTCGGGAACAATGAAACTCCTTTCACTGAAGAGCTGCTCCCCACGGTCTGTGTCGATAGTGAATGCTGAGACAGCGTACGAGTACCTGCAGTGGGGTAAGGTATGGTCTCGAAGAGGGAATTCGAATTCCGAAATAAAGCAATCCATTCGATGGAATTCTCGAGCCACTTCTACATCATCCGAAGCGAATGCAACTTACGGATCCACGACGTGCTGAGGGTTATAGGGGAAGCTGTGATCTTGAGGGCCGAGCTTGAACTCGTGTTCTATACCTTCCTCGAATCCGACTCCGAGCATTTTGAAGAAGGATTGAATTGCGTTCAAAGGTGTTGTCCGTATGAACACCACATAACCGGCGATTGGCCCGTTGGGCGTATCGGGCTCGTCCCACCGAATCATGGCACGGCCGTGTTCCGTGTAAGTCAATGGGTGAACCTTGACCGGAGAGGGTCCTATCGAGGAGGGAGGATCCTCAGAAATGTGAACATTGGAGAATTCAATGGTCCAGGTCTTCCAGAGTCTCAGCCCCCGAGAAACCTACTCGCAACGTTGCTTCTCAGTTGAGTTCTAATAGTAGGCCCGCAGGTTTCCACTGTGGATTCCGGATGGAGGAAGCATTGGCTAGTCTCAAAATCCACACGCTGGTACGGCGCTAGACCCGTGAATTCTCCGACATCGGCAACGTAGCGGTTCTTGAGGAATAGCGGCGAAAAGATCACAATTTTGAATCTTCTTGATGATTGGGCATTCATTGGGATAACCGAGAAGCGGATCGAATCCGACCTGCGCCTCAGGACCTCGACAGTCACCGGTGGAGCTGAAAGGGAGCTCGGGGATTATACGCATGCTCCCCGCTAAAATATCTCGACCCCCGATAAAACTGAGGGTCTAGAAGTTGTTCCAAGTCCAGCCAACGGAAGATGCAGAGTCCCTTTGGATCAATCTCTCTCATTGTCCAGCAATCGAGACTGGAATGACCGTCTACCCACAACTCACGGGGATAGTATTTCGGTATCCTGAATTCGTAGACCTCACCGAGGCGCTCCGTCCTCTCTCCCTCCATGTTCTGCGCGTCGCATGTCGCCCTGAGCCGTACCTCGAAGGCTGGACCTCTGAGCGGTGGAACGGTGATATTCAGATAGGGAGTGGTAAGGATGTAGCTGAAACGAGAATCAGGTCGTTTCTGCCGCTCCGGAAATCCGACATCCTCATAGTACGGTCTCCAACACCAAGCGATCCGATGGTTTTGGTGGCAGACTCACGTGACGCCCGGGAGTGTTTCGTTGACGTTGACAATATGAAGATGGTAGTGAGTGATGGGTCTGTAGGGGCTGAGAGGAGGATCCCATTCGATGTACACCCAATCCTCGAAGTGGATAGCCTTGATTATGGACGTAATTTTCCGGGGTGGTTTGAGCTCGATTTTTCCCTCAGCGGAACGAGCCATTCGATCGCTCGGAGGGATCTCCTGGACGTTCCGGAAGGCGGTGACCGTCAGGGTGAAATTAGCGGAGGAGGGAATGGTGAACTCGAAGATTCCGTCGCTTTGCGTGACTGTCGCACTGACGCATTTTGGGTAGCAGTAGTCAATCATCAGTTTCTCGATTTGCCTCGGATCGGTGGCGTCCCAAGATACTAAGTACTGATTGGGAACCTTCTGCTTGACTTCAACTCGTATGATTGGGTGAGGAGCTTTCGAGAGGAAATAGAACTCATACGGTTTCGATCTATGGGAGGTGTGTCGGCCACGCATTTGATCCTTATACCTTCTCGTGAGATGAGCAAATACCTTCAGTCCGATTCCGAAACGATGCGATGTATTCCATGCCTTCTGTCAGGTCAGACCGAGCTCGGAAGAGCACAGCATACTCCTCTTTAGACTCGAAGAAGTCGATCTTGCGAAGCGGATCGGACACAGGCACTGCAAAAACCTTAGACTGACCTCCTAGATTCAAATGCACGCTCATGTACGCCGGAGCGTCGGAAATCCTCGAATGCGGTCTCTTGAACGTCCAACGGAAGGAGGCGCAAGTCCGGTCCGTTGAGTTGATGTGTAAGCTTCCCAAGACGCCGAAGAGTTGAGGTTCTGTCGAAGAGGAATAGAGAAGCGTTCGGATATCTCTAGAGTTTCTGTAACATCGGGGAAGAATTTCTTCCGGACTCACCACCGTCAGCCGGATCAGCGAGCAGGCTCATCAAGAGAGTACTCAACAACAAAGGCCACATGGCCGAGCTTTCGTGCAATCGACTCCAGCGATCAAAACGTTCTTTAAGTTGCCGTGGGACGGGGGATTTTTTTAAAATTCAGTTGGAGCCCTGGCTTCTCTGCGGCTCTGATTGTAGTGTTTTCGGGTGTCGTCTGCCGGCTGTTCGATCGCTCACGTCATACAAGCCGTGAATGTGCAGGGCCGGTATTCCAAGGAGGAGGATACATGATCCCATATAGGGACGCTGCAATCGCCCGGCATCGCCTCCAATGCGGACCTATTCGTTGACCGACGAATCACCATGCTTGCCTGCCGCCGGACGCCTTCGAGAAATATACAGCTTGCGGAAATGAGGGGACACCTCGACCCAGCGAGGTTGAAAATCACTATGAACACGAATATCAGCGACGAAGACAGCATTCGCGCCATAAAATTCCGACGGCGGAGTCATGCTGTGCTGCAGCTGAGTTCCGGCGGGCTCTTCAACAGGACCGTGAGGAAGTATCCCCATTCGAAATCTTGAGCTTCTTCAGGAAGACGCTCGAAGCGATTTCTTCCTGTGATCCAAGTACTCGATCAGTGAGGGACTTCGACGAAGAACTCAATGTGGCTTGAGTAGGCGATTGCGAAACTGTGCCGGGAGAACGGCTCTGAACATATCTCGCGCGGATTCGTTCTCGGTTTCTCGCACTTGACTTATTAGCTGTAGACCCTCTAAGAAAATAATTTCTAGAAGGTGTTGGGACGCGGCTTCTACATATCGGATAAATCAACAGGTCAGAATATGCCTCTCGAAAACTCCACCTGCAACGATACAAAAACAGGACCACTTGAGGGCGAGTTCCCTTGACACAAGCCCCTTTGTTCCTTAAGGGGGAAAATCGGTTCACACCGACCGAAACCTGAGCAGCCGAACGGAAAATCGCTCCCGTCCGGAATGAACAGCGCTTCGCATCGAAGAAAACTCACTAATACTTGTCGGAGGGAAGTGCTCCTCGCGAAAGCAATGGAAATCACCGAGACTCAGAAGTCCGGAGCAGCTGTCGGGCAAGGAGACCGGAAACCTGCGGATTCGGCGAGGGAAGTAACGGCTTCCTCCATTGGTCTATCTCCACGAAATCCTGGTCCTATCGGATGATCGAAGTATTGCGAGGTACATCTCGGAGAGCTCGCATGCGACAGAATATGCAGGAATGTGGAGGAACGATTCCTATCATCAGTGTTTCGGAAGATTTTCACGGAGAATTCTAGCTGTTTCGATGAAATTTATTAGCTGCCTTCGAAGAGCGAGAGAAATCACAAACTTCGGAAGTGGTCAATTTTGCTATATATATAGGATTTCGGTCACCATGAATTCTTCTTTCGATTTCACAAAGCACTCAAAAATGAATGTCAATTCAAGTCAGGAGAGACTCGTGCTTAAGATACGGTTTTTCCTCTGTCGAGGGGTCGGCCGCCCGCTTCTTATGGCGCTCGTAGTTGAGCGCTGCGTAATCGTCGAGGTGCCATTGCCTGCGTCGAACTCACTCTATGAGTTACTCTCGCATCGGCGGGAATCAAAATTGCTGATGTAAACGAATTTGAAGTTTTCTGTAGGGCTCCTCACTGCAGAGCTTTCTGTGAGCTTTCCTCTGCGGAGCTCTTCACCGCAGAGCGTTCTGCGGAGCTCTTCACCGCAGAGCGTTCTGCGGAGCTCTTCGCTTCAGTGCGTTCGGTGGAGCTCTTTGCTGTAGAGCGTTCGGTTGAGCCCCTCGCCGCAGAGCGTTCGGTTGAGCTCCTCGTAGCAGAGCGTTCGGTTGAGCTCCTCGTGGCAGAGCGTCCGGTTGAGCTCCTCGCGGTAGAGCGTGCGGTTGAGCTCCTCGCCGTAGAGCGCGCGGTTGAGCTCCTCGCTGCAGAGCGTTCGGTTGAGCTCCTCGCCGTAGAGCGACCTTGAGAGCCTGCTGCTCTCGGACGCTTCGTTCTTCCGGAAGCGCTAGATCTTAACGTATAAGTTGAACCGGGCGGTCCAATCGGAGGGTCGCTTCCGTCGAGTATATCCGAATTGATATCGTCGGCCGTTCCGTCGCGTCTCATTAGTCTCAGCCTGACGAGACGCCCCTCCGTTCGCTGACGACGCGCAGCGGGATCGAATGGCGGATCGTCTGGGAGCCAGACCCGGCAACAGCAATAAATCGATAGCATAATTATTACGGTCACAAAAAGTCCCGTGTATGTGAAGCGCCAGGTACGGAGGGGCCTGGGAATAATGAAAGTCCTCTCACTGAAAAGCCGCTTCCCGTATTCTGTATCGACGGTGAATGCGGTTACGGCGTACGAGTGCCTGAAGGTGTGGAAGGAATAGCACATCAGCAAGGTATTTGCACGCTCGAATACGCTCGACTCTGTGAAAGGGGCGGGATTCATGAACATAATTTGTTGCGAATGCAGCTTACGGATTCACGACTTCTTCGTGATCGTAGGGGAAGCTGTGGTTCTGAGGCCCGACGATGAACTCGTGTTCTTTTCCTTCGTTGAAATCGTATCCGAATATTCTGAGGAAGGCTTGGAGCGAGCTCAGAGGCGCTGTCCGAATAGACACAACATAGCCGGCAATTGGCCCGTTGGGCTTCTCGGGGTCTTCCCACCGGATCATGCGAGGGCCGTCATTGGTGTCAGTCAAGGGATAAACTTTGACCGGTGAGGGTTCTGAAGGAAAGAAAAGCTCCTTAGAATGATGATCATCGAAATCTGTTCAAATCCTTCCAAGATCTGAGCTGCCGCTATCAAGAAACTCACTCGCGACCCTGCTTCTAAGTTCGCTCCTGATGCCATGCCCGCAGGTTTCCACCGTCGATCCCGGATGTAGGTAGCATTGGCTAGCCTCGAAATCCACACGTTGGTAAGGCCTCAACCCCGTGAATTCTCCGACCTCGCCAACGTAGCGATCTTTTAGGCTCAGTGGCGATAAGATTGAAATCTTGAATCTCTTCATCGTTCGGGGGTCCCTTGGAATTACCGAGAAGTGGATCGAATTCGTCCTGCGCCTGAGGACTTTCACACCAGCGGGTGATTCTAGAAAGAAACTTCGGCTCACATCAAGGCCTTCCGGCAGAATATATATTGACCCCCACGAGTACTGGAATCAAGGAATTCCCTCCTCTTAGACCGATTGAAAGCTATGGATTTCTTCAGATCTCTAGCGTCATCCAACTATTGCGGCAGGGATGAATATCTGCCCAGGACTCACGAGGATAGTATTTCGGTATTCTGAACTCGGAGATGTCACCGAGGAGCACCGTCTTCTCCCCATTCATATTTTCCTCGATGTACTTCGCCCTCATCCGCACTTCGAAGGCTGGACCTCTTAGCGGTGGTACGGTGGTATTCAGATATGTCGTGGTGATGGTGTAGCTGGAATGAGAGTTCGGATTTCATTTGATCGGGGAGGAGATATCCAGGTCTCTTCACAATTCGGATCATTCCGCGACCGATTGTTCTGGTAGAAGACTCACTCGGTGCCCGCGACTTCTTCGTCCACATTGACGATTCGAAGATGGTAGTGAGTGATGGGTCTGTTGGGGCTGGAAGGGGCATCCCATTTGATGTACACCCGGTTCTCGAAGTGAGTTGCCTCAATTATGGAAGTGACCTTCCGGGGTGGTTTGAGGTCGAGTCTTTGCCCAGGGGGACGAGACATCTGCTTGCTCGAGTCGACGTTCTGGTCCCCCCGGAGGAAGGTGGCGGTCACGGTGAAATTAACGATGGACGGAACGGTGAACATAAGGCTTCCGTCGCGTTGTAGTAACGTCGCTCTGACGCATTCCGGGGAGCAGTGTTCGATTACTAATTTATTGATTTGTCGCGAATCCGTGGCGCTCCAGGAGATTTCGTATTGGTAGGGATTAGTCTGCACGACTTCCACCCGGATGGAGGATGCTTTGGAGAGGAAACAAAGCTAATCAGGGTCGACGCTCACGATGAGTGTCTTAGCCTTCGGCAATGCCAGCCTGGAACTTACCGTCAGTCAAATTCCGGAACGATGCTTCGTATTTTGTGTCTATCAGCTCCGTGGGACTGGATCGAGCTCTGAAGTACACAGCATGCTTGACTTTGGACTCGAAGAAGTTCACTTCCTGGAGCGGATCGGTCACGGGCACTTTGAACACCTCAGTTTTAGCTTCCAGATCCAATAGCACGTTTATGAACGTCGGAGCGCCCGCAATCCTCAAATGGGGTCTCGTGAACGTCCAACGGAACGAGGTGCGGGTCGGATCCGTTGAGTTAATGTGTAAGCTCTCCAAAACGCTGGAGAGTCGCGGTGCTGGCGTAGGGAAACAGGTTGACATTCGAGTATCTCGGAGAGCTCCTCTTATCACGTCAGCATGCCGAACAAAGTCATGAAGGGAAAATCCCGTTCGAACTCACCACCGGCAACCAGATCACTGACTAGACCGATCAGAAGCATTTTCGACAACGAGCACCACATCGCCGCGCTCCCGTGCAATCGAGTCCACGGATCAGAATCTACACTTCGTAGCCTCCGGGGGAAGTAGAATCTTCCAAATCAGGGCGCTGGCTTCCGCGCAGCCTTGATTGTGGTGTTTGTAGATGTCGTCTGTCGGCGAATCCTTCGCGCGTCCCTATCATGCGAACATCACATGTGCCAAGCCGGTGCTTGGATGGGAACGTCGCAGTCCCTCGGTATCGCATCGAATGCCAACTTTCGCGAAGCCTGCTTTCCCAAGTGATCAATGGTCATGACCGGAATGCTTCGGAGGATATCCGTGGCTAGAAGTTTTTCCTATCACTTGCAGGAAGCATAACCCTCGGACCTCATACTTTTTCGGATGGATAGCAAATCACTATGGGCGCCTGCCGTCGATTCCCATCGCCTCCGTGACCGGAAGCTGTACTAATTATTCTTACTGAGCGCGCTGCTCAGCGAGGGTACAGGAGGAGCATGAGAACGTGTTTCCACGAAGAATTGCGAGCTTCCACGCGAAGATGGCGCTGGGAGCGCCCCACCCCTGAGGTCGCTCATCCGGGGCCGCTCTCGTGAGCTCGCTCGTTTCCCGCGATCCTCATGCGGTGACCGGGAAACAGCTCTGCTTTTACGGCGACGGCTTCGTTCCCGAACATTTCGAATCTCTGATTCATAGATTCAGATCCCTTTGGAATGATTTCTGCAAGGTATCGGAGAACGGTCCCTCCATCTCGGAAGACGGCATCTCCATATTTTCATCGACACCATGAACCCATACCAATACCATCTGTACCATGGGGAGCAGGCAGGCCGGCGACGATTTCTATTATTGAGCTAGCAGGTTCTCCTATATCAGAGGTTCCCAAAGTGGGTTCCGCGGAACCCTTGGGGTTCCGTCGCTCTTTTCCGGGGGTTCCGTGACAAAATCTTTGCGGAACCCCAGTGTTCCGTGGGCTGCCCTTTGCGCAAATCGGGGTTCCGCGACGATTTTCTGCTTCCATATGTACGGTCATATACGGGCCGTAGGTGACGTAGCCCTGTGGGCAACTTCTTTTCCTGACTCCAAATGTCTTCCTCAATACGAAGGGGATCGTTCTAATTGGCGCATCGATCGGCATCGAATGCACACTGCGAAGGTCCTTGCACAAGGCACGTTCCCACTAGATGAGAATTCCTAATTTACACAAGAATTGACTTAAGCAATAAACATTCGGGTCTGCTCCGGAACAAACGAGTGGTTTTTCCTCTAATAGCTGCAAGGAAAGAGCAATTGACAGGACTTTGAATTTTTTGAAAAATGAGGACGGGTTCCACGGAACACTAGGGGTTCCGCGAAGGGTTCCGCCGAAGAAAAAGTTTGGGAACCTCTGTCCTATATCATTCAGGATGGGGCCATCAACGAATCGAAGGGCCCGAGACACAGCAGCCGAGAATATGCCGGACTCCGCCCGAAACATCGGTCGAGTGTCGAGTTTGAGGAAAAATTACCAGTACGATCCTGGCTGGAGGAGTGCACGGATCCCTAAAGATGAATTTCGCGGCTTCGTCCTCATTCGAGATGTCTTAGACGCGGATTCATATATGAACCTCATTCTGCGCCGCCGCCGCCGAAAACTCTTTCCCTCATTGAGTGGGTAAGGCATACTCGCCTGACTACCCATGGAGGCCGGTATGCTCGAATGAAGCCATGACAGTGCTCACTATTCCTCCGTCCCACTCCTGTCGATTGAGAGACGGCGCGGGCGTCTCGGGCGAAGCCTATAGCCACGATCGCTTGCGACTCTTGAAAGGGAACGATGCGCGGCCACAGATGATTACAAGAGGGTTCGTAACCATTCGGAAGCAGCCGATTCCTGCCTCTTCTCCCTGGAGTTCTCTCTTTCTCCTCCCAATTCACCTCCGCCCTATGGCAGAGACCGGTCGACTCCCCTCGTCCCTTGTCTAGGCACTCGAAGCAAGGCTTGAGTACCGTCGACATAAAGGAATAAATAACCCCATACTGACGATATATTCTGCGACGATACGATTTGGCTGAAGTCAAACGAAGCGTCTCATATGTCAGCCACCACGGGAATCTAAGCGTCGAGTATTTCGCCGCGTCCCTAGGGTCAGAGCTCGACGTCGTAGAAGGGGTTCGCCCACCAAGTAACCGGGTCGAGAGCTCCGTGATCTCAGAATCGCTGACAGCATTTTCGAGACGGGCGAATCGTGGTTTCCGGCTGCAAAAAATATCGTGGGAGCAGGAATCTCTCATCGGAGTGGAGAGGCTCACTCACTCCGGGGAAAGATTAAAAGTTGATGGATGTTTTCCACCCATCGGATCGCGATTTCAATGGACGAGAGAGGCTAGGCTCATTCCGCGCAAGATCCGATTCACCCTCTTACGCCGTTTCGGATCATGGAAAATCTCGAGAGGGACTCAGAGCCCGAGCCTCGAGATGTACGAAAGAAGATACCCGAATGAGCCAGCCGTCGAGAGGGTCGACGGCGAAAGCGAGCGGCTAACGAGATCAACAGAGTAGATTCTCACCAAAGACAATTTGTTCCCGAATGTAGTCGAGTCAAGTTGTTACATTGTATCCATGCGGGAGACTCGGCGTCGTAAAGTAGACGGTAGGGACCGCTTCATCTCGCCCTCGATTGCAAAGAAGGAACATATTGTTGACTCCGCCGTGAATTATGGGGGATCGATTCCGATCCGAGCATCGCCTGCTCGCGGAGAGGGAAGATGGACGAACCGCCAGATCAACTGAGGAAATAGAATCGCATTCGAAAGGAAAACGGAGCGAAACGCGGGTGAAAACGGCACCCGCGCCGTCGACGATTCGACGTAAGATCCCGCTTCGGTGACCAGCGACCCCGAATGGCGGAACCGCAATGTCGGGGTCAACTTCTCGGTCCGTGACACGACAGAGACTGCTCACCCTAGTTGGGATGATAAGCGAACGCGCATAGTCACCCATTCGACAAATCTCGGAATGATCGCGGTCGACACAAATCGGCATGTGGACAATTCCGAGGCTTGAACCCGTAGATATCATAAAGTCATCGCCGCAGAGCCAGGCCCTCGGATGGCCGGTGTCGCTGTTATGAATTTCGCCTCTCTCGGAGCGCAAGCTCTACATGATAGCTCAGAGCGAGAATCTTGCACTTTAATTGCGAGATCTCAGGAGGGCGTTCGATATACGCAGCACTCGCTCGAAAGCAGGACGGGGAGTACAAGCGAGGAATCTCTGGACTCCCGTTGGGTTTTTCAAGGTAGACATTCCCTTGTCGCCCTCCTCCCACATCGAGCCAAACTCAAAAAAGAAGAGAGTCGAATAGACCTCACGCGGCCGGGGCTGTCAGTTCCAGGCGCTCGCTGAGCCCGAAATTCATTTATTTTGCTTCTTTTCTCGAAGAGACAAACCTGTGGCGGGCGCACGGTGACGATGATGAAAATACATAGGAAGAAAGAAATAGACTTGCTTCCGATCATGAGCAGGACGCAGCGGCGTGCCTCAAGCTGCGCGGGATTGCCACTCGCGAATACGAAACCCGATCAGGTCTCGAAAACTCATCGGCGACCATCACTGCAGACGAGTTTTGAAAACTCGCCATCATCGCTCCTGCGAATCTGCCAGTACTGAAAGATCCGAGACCGCTGCCAATGATGAGCATCGTCCCCGTTATTCGGAGCCAGCATTCGCGAACTCGATCGATATAATGATTCCAGTGACCAGCGTCGCTTATTCAGAATCACGACGAAGGGGCAGCTGCGCGTGTTTCCATCAATTGTCGAATAGAAGTTCCACCTATCCAGAAAACTCCGTACTCAGGTCTTCGCTCATGCTGAGCGAGTTTTCGGTCGGTTTGTCAAGCTAAGGGAACCTTGCTCAGGGTTCTCGGAGAACATCTCGGGGATAACTCCGTAGGATTCGATTGTCTGATCCAAACAGGAGCGTATTTCTCGCTCTCCAAACGTATTCCTCGCGAAGATAGATAAGTTGACCGAGTCCGCTACAACTCTTGTATGGACCGTGTCCGCTTTGTGTGGCGAACAATGCAAACATCGCATGCAATAGATTGCCGCGAGCTAGCGTGAGCGAACCTCGTATAACATTGCGGTTCCGCACCGTGAACATTCCTCCTGCGTAAAATACGCTGCGACGTGTGGCGTGAGCCTTGCTATTGCAAGTCAATCCAATATCACTTCCGTCTGCTTCTCGCGGCACAAAGCACTTGGCTGATGCACCCCCGCAACCTCTACCAACCTTCCTGCTGGCCTGCTCTCCCCTTAAGCGGGAATCGGGCCGTAATGAGAAGCGGCGCTGTATATGCGAGAGCGGGGTCACTCGCCAAAGGGGGAATCGAAAAGAGAGAAAAAGGGGTTGGAGAATGAGCGGAGAACGGAGTCGGCGAAGTCAGCTGTGCCTGACGATATGCTGTTTTGTTTTGTTCCATTTACATGCGCTGGGCGGTCGAAAGCTGCGCGGGTGGCGGAAGTCTGGTGCCGAGTAGTAAGTGCACACATCCATACATTCAGACACCTACTCGTTATGGCTTCACGGGCGCAAGAGAAGGGTTTATATCCGGGTACACTCATCCGATTTGATTCACTGATGTCGCGGTCAATTGATCGCCTCGCTCCGGATCAGTTACGAAATGCCGGGGAAGGGTGAAAGAAGGAATTATTGTCCGAGAATCGAGCAGGTGTCGAAACGATCTCGATGCCGGAGTGTTGAAGGCATCGTGGAGATCACACGCTACCGCTCTGTGTACTACACATAAAGCGAAACAAAGATAAATAACCTGCAAGCAATTATCACGCATTGTCTATCTCGTCGATTCCCCGATCGATGTGCTCCCATTGTGTATTCAAGGCGGTGATACCGAACCTATCACTATCCTTAGGTTCCATTAACTGCTGGTCTGTCTCTTGTTTTTATGCCAGCGCTGGTCCTAATCCGTGGAAAACTCTCCTCCAGCTCCCGCGGTGGATGAGGGAAGAAATTTCGTTCTCTCTGAATGGAACTGCCAAACGAGGAGTATCGCCGAGTCGCGAATCAAGTCAGTTTGATGCCCGACATCGCCAAAGTGCGGCCAGCAAATCGTTGTGAAGCCTGGCGGGAATGCCTTGTTGTGCAGGTCAAGAAGAAAACGTATCCCGGGTTGAAACGAAAATCGCGAAGATCGCTTCAAGATGCTCCTCGCGTGCATTACCAACTATTCGGCTCCAGACGCGACCAATAGATATCAAATCGTTTTGAAGCCCCAGAGCTTAGATGTATTTTTCCCTCGTTTCGGGACCTGGTTATTCCGAATTAGCACAGAAGTTTCATTTTCCCGTTGAAGTATTGTACTACGCGGGATCACTCTGTGTTTTTTTTTCCGATTTTTCACAGAACGCGGCTTCGTGCTCGGAGCGAATCCTTAGCCGCATCCGCCGCCCTAATGAGAAGACAATTATTGCATCGAAAAACGAAGGCGAGTTTGTCAACTGGAATGCGCCCGATTCTATATTGCCAACAAGCAGACACGAGGTATGTTCATGGACCGAAATCGGGTTTTCCTCGCATAGGTGTATCGACCCAAATATCTCAGCGGTCCAAGCCGTCATCTAAGAGAGAAAAGGACAATATCGGGCCTTTCCTTCTCGAGCTCCTCTTTTTACGCACGTGAAACCCTATCACAGCGACCCCGACTGCAGCGATCAGAGTGAGGAAAGCTGCGGGTATGATCCAACCGGCTGCTTCCACTCCGCCTCTGGTGTGTAAACTCTTTAGAGAGATCTCACCCATCACTATCTCGTGCGTGTCCAAATCTAGGTTGTAAGCTGCGATCGTCACATCGTACCTGGGGAATGGATAGTTTTAGGACTCATATGGACAGCTCGGGCTTGATTCGGGAATACCTTGTGTCTCGGGAATCGGTGAGCTTTCGACGTTATTTCGAGGTGCTGGGCATTTTCAAATGAAATTGGGGATATTGAGGAAACGCACGCGGTGCTATCATCGGTGGCAGTGATCAAGTATTCAGAGTCCGCAGGATTCAAGGAGTAGTTCCGTTGCGTCGAAGCTTGAAGGCTTGGCTGATATATTCTGACGATGTATCCGTCCAGAGGACCATTCTTGACTGATGGTTCGTCCCAAGTGAGCGCAAGTGAATTGTTCTCATTCACCACAACCGAGAAATTGCTAACAGCGAGCGGACCTAGGGAGAATGGAAAGATCATACCTCGCTCAAAACAGTGGTCGGCCTAGTCGCCATGGGACCTTTTCGCTTGAGGGATCTCGCAGTCATCGATTAGGGTACAGCTGGTAATTATGATGTCTTGGGTCGACTCACTCTCTACGTTGGTCATGTCACTGGACGATATGGGCTCTCCGCAAAGGGGCTCCTCGGCAGAATCCAAGAAGCAGGCGCTGACGTTGTATTCGACTCGCTCGTAAGGGGCGAGCTTGTTGATTTCGTGTTCATTCGATGCCACAACTCCGAATTCTTTGTCATTCGCTGACCACCGGAATTTGTAGAAAATCGGAGAGAGAATTGACGATGGTACGGCTCGGAGTTTGATGGAGTGTCCCTTGCGCTTTATCGTCTCGAGTCGCGCAGGTGGCGCTGTGAATGGAAAAACGTTTCTTTCAGGTAGGTCCCGAGGAGCCTGAGATCGGATTCCGGGGGATTCGTCCACAATTATCCGGGGCATTTGCCCGTCTGAACTCACGCAAGAATTCGATCTCACGCAGGTTTTCGTTCACGACTTCGCTGAGGAACTCCTGCCTAGTCAAGGTGTCAACAGAGACGGCACTTAGAGTCACTTTGTAGCTACTCCCCGCAAGATGAGGTAAGCTGATCAAAGCTCTCAAGTCTGAAGAATTAGCCCTGAGGATGAGTCAACGTGACATGAGTCAAGGACTATATTCAGCCTCAATCGCGGAAAATCACTCATATGAAAGGCGCTCCCAGCTTCGGCGAACGGCAGGAACCCCTCGGAAGGAACTCACGAATTCACGAGAAGGGGATTGGATGCGTCCCAGATTTTGATGTGGTAGTGGTCTACCGGACCTCGCGTTTTCTGTGGAGGCTTCCATTCGAGACTCAACCACCTGAGTTCCTGTTTGATGGCGATGAAATCCACTGAATCAGGACGACCGACGGTGCTCCTGCTCTTGAAGGTTTGCGACAACCTCATGATCGACTGGCCCAAAGGCTGATCATAGATTGTTTTGACAGTAACGTTGAAGTCCACGTCGTAGTCCAAAATGAATTCCTGATGCTCCTCTCCCAGCCATTTCGGTATTGTGGTGCAATTGGTATCGCATATAATGACTTCGAAACGCTCCAGGCATTCGCGTTCGGGAAGATCCCATCCGAAATCGTAAACAGCTCTGTCTTCGATTCCCTCCGAAAGGACCGAAGCTTTCACTATGGTCGCGGCCGGCCAATCTGTCGATCGTAATCTCTCTGTTTAGAGCATTCATCATTGCTTAGGAATTGCGGTCCGAATTTCGTGTCGGACGTTGAGGGACGATTTTGTAAGAAGGGGCAAGGCGCTCACCTTCAGTCCGAGTCTCGAACTGCATGGAAGAGCCCTCAGCGTCTATCCAGTTCTCGAGAATCGCTGTCACTGTCGTGGTGTAATTTGTAGACTTGTCGAGACCTCTCAGGATCGCTTGGGTGGTATTGACGATCACGGATTCTTTAATTTTATTTGGGGCCAGGTATTCAACGTTGAACTTCAAATCCGAGACCTGGATCCCCGAGTCCGACGGGAGAACTGCGCTCCATCCAAGCAGTACTTCATTCGCGCTCAGATGAGCGACTTGAAGATTGGCTGGCGGGAGCAGCTTCCCAATCGTATCTGAGGGCAAGAAAGAGGAAGCTCAGACATCTCGGACCTTGATGAGCTTTTAGAGAAACATCTGAAGTGAGCCTCGATTAAACGAAAAGTGAAATTCGTTCGGGATATCTCACCGAAGTTGATGCTCGCGCTTCGCACGAAGCTATCGTGCTCATGAGGTCGGTACACGGCCGCTACTTCCACCGTATAAGATGACCTGATGTCCAATTGGTCGAGATAGAACTTATTCCAATGAGTTCTCGCGTTCCCAATCGGTTTCTGGTCGTCGGTCTTCCTCCAGGTGACATCGAAATATTTGAAATCGGGATCGATGTCTTCGAGCTGAACAATAGGAATGCGATCTCCGTGAGAGTTGTCGGGCATAAAATGTCTCGAGTTTCGATTTTTGGCAAGTCCGATTCTCGGGTGACGACCGCGACGCTGCATCGGTAGCTGCTACTCTCGCAAAATGAGCCGCATGACTTCAGCTCCGGCAACGCATGGGTCTCCAGCCCTATACCGTCTCAAACGATTATGAGCAAGGTGCGTAAATGCGGTAAGTTCTATTTCACGTCGTGAATCGCGGTGGAACGACTCGAATTGGGACGACTTGGCCCGGAAAACATTTTACACTCGCCTGCCACTTCATCTCTACATCCACTTTGCCGCTCGCGTTGAGGCTGTTCATGAGTACGAGAGCAGTCAATTTCGAGGGACTAGCATAGGCTGGAATAATAAGACACCGGCAACGTCATTGTACTTTCGCTGAAAAGACACTGGGCGAGATCTTCACGGCGTCGCATCACAGCACATTCTTCTTGCGCCGGAGCGTCTGCGTGGACAGCGAGGCGACGTCGAGAGCTTGGGCCCCTACCTTTCGCAGTCACAACGAGCTGGTCTCCGACATAACGTTCGCTTCCGTCTTCGATTTGGGGTGCTATTGAGATCCGGTAAAGATTGCCAGGAACGAGCCTCTTCCGGAGTTTCGTACGCCAGACCTGAAAGAAGCTCCCCTGAGGTTCGAGACACTCTTCGACGGCAGCCTTTCCGGAGATCGGGTCCGAGACAAGCCTTCGGTCCTTTCGGACCCGACCGAGTGCCGGTTTTCAATCTTGCCTATCCCGGAAAGGGTCGAAGGTTATCTCTCTTGCCCCGCAGACCGACATGCTCCGTGAAGTCATGGAGGGGCCTCACCTCATGTTTGACATCTGATCTCTTCCGATCAACGACCAAACTTTCTTCCTTCGACGAATCGCTTATGTTCACCACGTACGACGTGACAGTCTTCGGCATGAAAGCCTCCTCGACAATCAGCTGCAACGCTTCTCCATCAGGAATGGCAGTGAATTTTTTCACTCTGTGTGGTTCTGAATTGCGGAAACATATTTTCTGCATCATTGCCATAGCATTAAGGCGTGAGAAGTCTCAGTGAAAACACGGAGAAAAACGTGGATTTGATCGTTGTTGTGAAACCTAGTTGCGGATGCTCAAAAGTTCCGCGCTTCAGTTCAGTGTTCGAGAGGCGCGAGGCGTACAACAGGGAAAGCGCACCCACGATTCTCCATTCAGGAGGGAATGGGCGGGCCGAGCTAGAGGAATTCTGCCCCAGCTCGAGATTCCCGAGAAATCGAAATTGCTTACCTCCCTGGCCAGTGTATTCTGTTCGAGACAGCCAAGTCGGAGGACATGGTTCACTGGCCCGCAACGAAACTGAGTAGTACGTCCAGAACTGGAGGTCGTGGACTTCATATCTCAAATCCTTAGTTATCAGCGGTGTCTTCGACCCTTCAAAGAGCAGTGAGTATTCCGTCGAATTCGTGGCGCAGGAGCCCTCGTCCCATGAGAAAGTGATGGAAACAAAACCGTTCCCGGTTGGAGTGACTTTCGCTTCTAGCTCGTTCGGTCCTATAAGATGGATGCTCGCATTGGTACAGCAAGTTGTCCGTGAAGATCATCATAAATCATAAAGCATAGGCGCAACCGAGAGTCGAGGGCTCTCGATCGGAGCTCCGATGGGAAAATCACAAGTTGTCACGGTGCAACCCCTTTAACTTGTCTGAGCGTGGCACAACCTTCGGTCCCTTCGGCGAACGAGAGCGCTACACAGAAAAGCGTCACTGCAAGGAAGAACTCCGGCGCAGCCATGTTCAAAAAATTGTGGATTCGTACGAGGCGTCCGCTACGGCAGAGCCCATCGATTCGATCGCCATTTCGAAAGTGGAGGCTTAAGAAGGATCATTGCAGGGCTGGCTCGACGCGAGATCATCAACGGGACTCAATATTTCCGTATCAAAATGTTAAACTCGATATTTTCCCATCATTCCACAGGCCCCGCAAGGCCGAGACCCGGGGGCCCTACTGTTCTGGGGAACACCGTCGCTCGCTCTGGCTCATTCGTAGTTCTGGCGGATGAGTCAACGAGTCAGCTAATCTACGCGAAAAACCTCTCCATTCTGATTCTCTTTCGGGAGTGACCGTCTCATGCCTCTCAACGTTTGGGACAGATTGAGAAACCGACAATGGAGGCCGCGAGGCCGTCCTCGCTCCCGCATCATCAGGAAGGTATTATTAGAGCCTATCGGCACTCTCGATTGAAACCAAATAGAAAAACCCCCGACAAGAGAGCGAAGGCGAAAATTGGAACGCAGGTTGTTCGCTGATTATATCGTAATCGGCTCTGAGTATCCGAGGCGTCGGCGTCATCGAGGTAGAGCCTAAGCAGATGCTCAGTCACATTGAGTCATCGGGGTGGAGACGAGGAAAGAAAGAGACATAGTCGAAATTTTTCCGTCCTGGAATCCTTTCTTCGATCGTTTTTCACGAGCTCTGTAAATCTCGAGGAGCTCTCATACTCCGCAATTGACAAAGTTATCCATCCTCGCCCCACCTCTTATGGATAATGAGCATTCCCCATCAACATTTAGCCGAGGGCGATCACGAGATTCATCCCGACGAGAGGACGCCGAGGAGAATATCGGTACGCGCCACGCGATGCATATTCTGATTGCGCGGATGGATGATTATAGCGAAACAGTAGTTCGTTGCGACGCAGGAATGAGCTCGGACGGTGGGGGTACTTGGGAGCATAATTTCCCGATCCCTTGAGCCATGCCGTCTTCCCCGCCCAACATGAGGATCTCGTCAGTCTTCTTCGACGGAGGAGCAACCTACCCGGAGGACATCGGTGAGATCAAGATACGCCCGAACTCAAGCATAGAAGACAGGTAACCCTGTAGCGATTATCCAAAATCGGGTGATGACTCACTTCAGCTGCATGTTTCGGGAGACTCTCAAGAACCATTGACAGAACCGCCGTACCATACCGTAGGTACGCTGTGACTTTTAGTCGCATCCTTTCTGCGTCTGCCCCACCGACAGCCTCGATTGCGTGAGCTCCCGCTGCACCAATCATTCTTATTCTCTCGACATCGGCGCGAGCGTCCTCGAGAACTCGGGTGCTGCGGAGGAATTGGACGGACAAAATTCACCCGCTCACCCTGGGCGATCATCTCGAGGCGATAGGCTTCAGCTTCGGCTGGCAATCTTATCGTAGCGGTCAGTTTTTTCTCTTTGCGAGTTATCTCTTCCTCCTCGACGGCAATGTCTTTCCTCCGCTCTACGACATCAATTTATCCTTCTTCCTTCCGTATCATGTGGTGAAGCTTCGCAGCTTGCAAACGATAAGCGACTTGAGCCTCTGATGCCTCTGAGAGTCCGGAACCTCTCGTCTCCAAACTGAGGGCTTGTTCCCTCACTCATTTCCCGCCGACATGACGGCTCTGCACGTCGGACTTCGCTGCGACTTATGAACGGGATCCGGTCGATAGCAGCTGAGAGACAACTGTTCATACCTCAAGCGCAAGCGTTCTTATTCAGCAGTTCGTGGTCTGGACTGCTCCCCGCGAACAAGTTTGCAGAGCCTAAAATTATCGAGAATAAACTCCAGCCCTCCTGCCGGGACGAGCCCGTACATGCATTTTTGTTGTTCTTCTTGTATTCAGGCGGAGCATTCCTCATCATGGAGGACTTTAAGGTAGCGACGGATCAGAAGAGCTGGGTTTGGAAACATTTCTTGAAGATTTCCAAAAGCGGAAAATGCATGAAATGCTTCAGGGTAGGCTCCGCATAAATAGCATGAACATATGGAGATCAGCAGCGAATCCGCAGAGAACTTTACATAAGTTGTACACATGTATGCTTATTTTTTCTGGATCCGGTTTGGTGCGGATCCGGGATCTGCGGATCTCAAATTTCACGGATCTTTGGAAGGCCTACTGGTCAGACGAGCGGAAATTTTGACCTACTGACGAACTGGTCCCTGAGACCAGAGTGACCCGTCCCATATCGGACTTCCGAACGCGTATACTTGTTTCGGAGGTCTTCATTTTGGGAGTCTTTGGAGATTCATGAAGTTCCATCGCTCCGCAACTTCCTCATCGATGGCCGCCCTTAAATATTTTACCTGACAAGAACGCAACCGTTCTAGGGAACGTGCTTTCCGACGGAGGAGGGAGGCAACTGTTGACCACCAATGTCAAGAATGCGTGATAGAACGAACATCCAGAGCTGTGCTCATTGGGTCTCTGCGTACTGTTCGCAAGGATCGAATTCGCGGGAAGCAATGGTTGAGCTCAGGTTTGTAGCTCACGAGAGGATTGCGAAATAGAGAGCGAATTTGTGATCACATGATCAGCCCCCACGTTGCAAATCATCGGATGCACTTCGGAAGAAGTTCTCATTCATGCGGATATGTCTTTTTGAGGCATGAAAAATATGATACTGTGGAGCGCGCGAATTTTTCATTCACTCTTTCCTCATGAACTCCGAGTCCAGGAGCGTAGGTTTCTGTTCGAGATCGGATGAACCAGACCTAATCATCCGACAAGTGAAGCTTTCCCGGTTCTCGTATTCCTCCGAGATGCATCGCGGGGACTCTCGAAGCCGAGCTCGATCTGCTCCTGCGGCCGGGCGGTGACTGAAATGATTAACAGATGGCGCTCCTATCGTTCCCTGCTGAGCTTCCTCATTGGTTGTAACATAAGTAGCTGCGGAACAGCTCCATGATTTCCATGAAGTCGTCTGGAATCTAAGGATTCTCCGCGTGAGAAAGCGTGTCATCAATGCTTCGCTCTTCTGAAGCGCTACGCTGTCTCGATAGGGTCGAACTTCGCTCCGAAGAAGTTCCTGTTCAACCACGAATTCGCTGAACTTCGGGTCATCGACGATATATTCCCCCTTGCCAAAACCGAAGGGTGCTTTTTCCATTTTGACGTAGAACTACGTCATTATGGACGCTGTCCAAAAAAATGTGACGGATCCAGTTACGGATGCACGAATGGTTTCGGATTGAGGGTTTCGAAATCGCGGTAGGCTTCTCAGGCGACATCTGGTACGGTAAAACTGTCAGAGAGGCTATTGAACTCCCCGCGACTCCGTGTCCAGAAAACCACCTCTGGAACCTTCGAATCACCTCAGTTATTTAGAATCATTGGACATTGAAACTAAACGTGGTGCGTTATGATGCATTGTGGTACTCAAGGGTGCCGCCGGAGTGCCGGAGCAAACGATCGTGCCACTGAGCTGTCAATCGTGGTACGAAAGCGGCGAAATATCAGGTATTGTATTGGGGTATCAGCACATCGTCTCCCACGCAACTCCGGAGGCGAGTCGAATGATCAGCGCACCCGACACATCTACATTTGCATACGCGCCGCCGCCTGGTCACCTCACGACCGAACTGAATCATTTAGATAATGGGAACTATATAGACAGGATCCGGCTCCAGAACCGTCTCGGGTGCTCAAAGCCGGAAAACTGAATCTCAGCCACGCCGGATCCGGACGTGGAAAATGATCCGATACAGCCAACGGCTTGCAATATTCGACTTCCCTTTTCGCCGTCGGCTTATACTTTCATCCCTTATTCCCTCATCAGTGAGGACCGAGGAACTTTGGAGGTTTTGAGCAAGGAGCTATATTCCTCATTCGCTGAATGAGGGCTCGAGACTCTCATCCGAATTTGACACTTACTGCGATAAAATTCATACATCAAATTACGGCTCCGCTCGACTACTCTATCGTTTGGATCGGGACTTCATAAAGATAGAGACATATCGTTGAGGACCCGGGATTCTCATGCAGGATTCTCATGCGGGACCGAACTTCATTGGCTTCATGAGAGTGCGTCCGAACTCCATCCTCCGTGTCGAGACTTGAGATAACAGGAGCATATCGTTGAGGATCCAGGATTTTCATCTGGAATCGAACCTCATCGGCTTCGGAAGAGTGCGGCCAGACTTTATCTTCTGGATCGGGACCTCATCGGTTGAAACTTATCTTTGAGGACCCCAAATCAGAATCCAAAATCGGAATTCATCGCGAAACTATACTTTCAAGCCACACTTCAACTATCTATATCTCGATTTCATAATCATAGACTGAAACAATAAATCTTCCCTCGATTCGCTTCATAGACTTCATCGCGATCTCACGATAAGTCCCCTCGAGTACGTTGACGTAGTTCTACGCAACCCACAGGTTTGGCTTCAAGCTAAACCTGCACTGAATTTTTTTTGCAATGTCTCTGGTGGAAGGCTCAAGAATTGGGTCTGAACAGATTTAACGAAGACGTTGACGTCAAGCGTTTTTCGCGATCAGTCAAAGCCTCGGCTCTCGTGCCATTGGTATCCTTTCACGACGCGTGGCTCGACATTAATGCAGACTCACCCGGTTCGTCGCACCCGGCCTAGGAAGCTTTTGAATTGCTCAAGGACTATATCGTCAGGACTTGGCCAGAGAACGAGACCCTGACTCCCCGTTCGATTTGGAATCATTAGAGAATTTTGGGACGCGAACGAAAAATCATCTTGAGCAGCCGCGGCCAACCCGGGAAAGGAGGTAAACCTCCCAAGCCGCCTTCGTAGGAGCTGGTGGACCCCATGTTCCCCATATTGCTCCTGTCCATTCGCTCCATGTGTAAAGTTCTCATCAATCAGATCAAGGCAGTCGGAGCTCCTCCTGATGCGCAGGAATGCAATGGATTCGCGAACAGATACCGAGCTGTAGGGATACGAGTACAATCAGCAGCCGGGCCTCATCAGCATTTGAGACTCCCTGTGTATGAACATGCTGTGCTTTCGAGATCTCGCCGCGGAATGTGCTGGGTGGAGTCACTGACCGAATGCGTATTTGACCAACAGCCCTTCTTCCCGTCGTGAAGGCTCACTTTGATCGCGTCTCTTCCGAAATCTCGCCGTGGACTGTGGACCCCCGGAAATTTCGCTGTGGACCCCCGAGGTCCATGCACCCCCGTTTAGCCACCGCTGATCTAGAGGGCTGGCACCGGGCAATGAACGCCCTCATTCGGAAAAGTCATATCAATCTATTCGAGCTGATAAAACGGCTACAGCATCAAGAACCGAAATTCAAAATCATCATGTTGCAATAACCTATGGGCCAGGAGCCAGAGCAACAAAATAAGAAATACAGGGAGCTCAATGAAAGGCTGATGGAAGTGAAAGAATACGAAAGTGATGAAATAAGTTTACTAGAGTATGTTAACTTCGTGGGGTGCAACTTGACAAGAAGTCTTGAGGACAAACTTCCTAATTGTACGAGGAATAGATGTAAATTATAGGTGTATAATCGTGACATGATTTCTGATCCTTCATTGGCTGCTCCTATTCATCCAAATATTTCTGGCATCTGGGATTCCGGAATCTATAATTCGGGCGAGTTGAAATCCGTCAAGTGAGATTCGGCCAAGGGCACCAAACTCTCGAGAATGTTCTGAAGAACGAGCTGCTATGATGATACGATTCCAGTGAGGAAGCTCATTAACGAATTCCATGAGGAATTCTTCGAGAGGGGAATTTCTGCGGGTCTTCGGAGTCGTAAATTTGAGCCCGGAGATTGCTGATCGAAGTTCTGCAGGAATGCATACGGTCTGGTTCAGGAATGCATCACTTGATGCTCCCACGGAATCCTCAGCCTCCGAATACGAGATACAGCATGCGGGCGGGCCGGGTTAATTATTTCAAGCGAGGATTAGGGTCGAAGAGCTCGGGGGTTGGGGAGGGTGAAAGTGAAAGTTCATTGGAGCCGCAGATTCCAGAGAGTGGGTGCGACCCCGGACTACAGAACTCTCGCAATCAGCGCTATAAAAGCAGCGCCTTCCGACCAAACCCTCATATCGGAGCTCCTCGTCTCGGAAGATCCTGCGAAGTTCTGCCCAAAGTATTGCAAGGCGGTTCCTGACCAAGACATCAGTATCTTTCTCTCCGTCATTCCTTGGAATCAGAAGAAAATGGCAAGTTTCAGTCCCCGAAGTGTCTTGTGCAGGTTCATCCGTTCGAACGAGTGCCGTTATGGAGCCAGCTGCCGATTCTCCCACGATGGGACGTCGGAAACAGTGGCGGTCTGTCGCTATTTCCAGAGAGGCGACTGCCGATACGGTGAGCGCTGTCGCTACCGACACGTCTCCGAGGATTCGTCATGTCCCCCGTCGTCGAGCGCTCAATCGATTGAGACCCCGGTGGAGTCGCCTCTCGAAGCTTCGGCATTGTGCGAGTTCCACGTGATTTCGGGGGTTTGCCGGAACCGGGACTGCAAAGCGACCCACGGAGACATTTGTGATCTCTGCTGCAAATACGTCCTGCACTCGAACGATCCTGACCTCAAGAAGCGACATCTGACGGAGTGCCGGCGGACCCAGGAGGAGCGAGGAGAGTCTGCCGCAGCGATAGAGCCGTCATCGGAACTACAGTGCGGGATCTGTTTGGACGTCGTCACCGCGAAGGAAGCGGAATCTTCCAGGATATTCGGCATCCTCGAGGAGTGTCCGCACGTCTTCTGCCTGGACTGTATCAAGGAGTGGAGACGTTCGGTCTCAGTTTCTGTGACAGCGGCCCGAGGATGCCCAGAATGCCGAACGGAGTCCCATCTCGTGATCCCTTCGGCCTACTTCGTCGGGAAGGGCGAGAGAAAGGCCACTCTCGTCGAAGGCTACAAGACGGCGTTGTCCAAAAGGATCTGCAAATTCTTCGATCAAGGGAGAGGAGCTTGCCCCTTCGCGAGCAGATGTCTGTCCAGGCACGTCTTGCCGAACGGCGAGCTCGAGCCGAAGGATGCCGTCCCAGTTCACGGTCCCGAGAACGAAGAGCCTTGGCTACGTGTCCCGTTAGCGGATGGCTCAACGATGATTGTCATAGGTTTCGAGGTGTTTATCATACCTGCACCGGGCCAGTCCGAAGATAGCGCCCGTGAATACAATCCCTTGTAAGATGGATGACTCTGACGTCCAGATGGATGAGTATCCGAAATAGAACAGAATTTATTACCACTACCTGGAGTTTTGGGTGGACGAGTCCTTCACGGATCTTGTTTTTACCGCATGCTCTGTGATTGGATGAAACCTTCAGAGTTCAGAATAAAACTTGGGCTCCTTCGAAGAATTCCCCTAATCTCTCGACCACCCTCCTGTACTCGTCTTCCGATCCTATTGCTCTTCGTTCATCGAGGCGTTCTCGAGTCTGCTACACACTTTTAAAAACATTGGAGTACCTACCGTCTTCATGAACATGAATTTTCGTATTATCACGAGAGGTGGATTTGCCTCTACGACGAATGCCAGAAGGGTAAATCCAGAAGGGATCCGGGAGTGCTTATATTAACTCGAATAAATAAGTTCCAAGATCCGTGTGTATCTACATGCATATACGAGACCTTGGATTTAATCCATGGCGTCTCTGATGAGAAAGCTCCCGCCACCAGAGACCTATCGAGCTCCGAGGAGGGCATCAGACCAGAACGTAGGTTCAGGTATCATTCATCGTAGAGCTCCCGCATTGTTGCGAGATCTGAGTTTGATGGAACTTCGAGTATCGCGCGGTCCAGGGGATCATCATGACTCATGACTTTTGTGTACAGCCGTCTTTCCCAGCTCTCGGTGCGCAATCCAGACCTGCCGTGTCGTTCATGGGGGCCTGATTTTTCGGTCTTCGCATACCTGGAATTCCGGGAGCAGACTTCCACGCCGAGAGCGTTTGCTATGGGTGGAACGCGCCACCGGCACGGTTTCCCTGTGGTCCCAGAACCACCTGCTTCAAGCTGAACTTGCCGATCGCGCTGGAAACAGGGATCGAACCACGCGGGCGCTCCCTCGAGCAAAAGCCTCCCTCCATGCACAAGGATTCCACGTTTCCGGGAGAAGTGTCACACGCGTTCACCTTCTCGAATTCCTATCCGTCGCACCAGTTCCTCTTCAGCAGCGGAGCACATTACGCAAATCTAGGGAAAAATTATATACTCCCGACCGCTGCAGCTCGTGCTAAGCGATTCTTCTGACCCGCTTTGGTTTCACGGAATGACGACGTTTGATAGCCCCTCTGAGGCTCCGAGGTACAAGCTCTTCCGGATGTCGTGCGACGGGACTTGAGGCATCTTATGAGGTTGCTCTGAGCCATCTTCCGATGAACGTGCATTCGCATTTGAGATGAGACTTCTGATCAATACCGAGTACCGATTTGTGGCTCTGGAGATCCCGACATCGAATCGAATATGGGATTAGCCGCTGGTCGGTTTATAAATAATTAATCGCAGATGACTCTAGATGAGACAAGCGGTGACTGGCACCTGATAAGATGCGGCGAGACCATTCACTGACAATACGAATCGACATGGCTTCTACGGAGTTCATTGTATGATATTTGCGGTCATGTGCGGGCTCGCTTCTGCGAGCTAGGATGAGCCTTTTTTCTTCATGCTCTACTTTCTGTCTCGGGGATTCCGAGGGGAAGGTCAAAATAATTAATCGTCGTCAGGTTGGTTCGACAGTTCGACAGTATGTGGTCAGGCGGAGATCCCCCGCAAATCCCCCGCCAAGTCCATCGCAATCGATGATCGACGTCGGCGACAGCATAGGAGACTTGTCCGACCGCAAAGCTCTGTGGAAAGCTGGATTCTGGACCCTCGCTCGACTCAAGATATTTCTGAGCACGCCTGATTCGGGTGTTACGGAGATTGGCTCACCCTTCGGCGCCAACTTTTCGTTCAGAGACCAAGGATATTGGACACAGTACATGGTCAAGTTGAATATTTCGTTTAAAACGATAAAGGGCAGTTATCGTCACCGGGCCTGGGAGCGAGTACCGTTCAAGGGAAATCGCCTTGAATTAGCATCAGCCGACGGAAAAATTGAGAGCGTCCGCACAACGTCGATTCTGTATGATCCATATTCCTCGTTACAAGATTAGCGTCATTCCCGAGACAGCTTTCGGTGACAAGACTTATTCCGGGAAGCGGATGGTCTCGGCGTTCGCCACAAAAACCATCAGATGCCTCGCGGATACTTATTGTCTGGTCCTTCTGTGATGATCAAGATAAAGGGGATATCCACAGGAGTCAGCCGAGAAGAGTTCCCTAATTTTCCTTTGTGAATATTGGATCGAGGTTGGGAAACTCGTCCCTGCAAGTGATTAATGCGTTCCGGGCAAGGAAGTCCGGCGATTCTTCCTGCAGATCGGAGTATCGCATAGAGTTTCGCCTGAAAGCCGATGCAGTGACCTTCTTCAACTATCTGGAAACCCGTAGCGAGATCTCTGCGGGATATCTTCGCAACTATTGGTTTGATCCGACTCCCCTAAAGGAAGGGAATTTCCACATCTGTCGAGCTACATTGTCGAGGTCTCCAGGAGATCAATCGGTCCCCCGGTCGTCTTGAACTCTCTTACATACATCGTCGCACCCCACGGAAAGATATTCACTGCGCCGGATCTCCGCGTGTTCGCCTTAAGTATAATTCCCTCCGCCTCCCGGTCTGTATGTCGTCGAAAGCTCTGGGGGGATTCTCGAGTCCACCGAGAGAGGCCGCCACGGGTTTCGCTGGAGAGCGAAGCGGAGTCGGCACCACGAAGTTCTCTTCAGGGCTATGAACAGGAATTCATCACCATGTACGTTCATTGTTCGGATCAGAGCGTTTCAAGATTGGATCCGCATCTCCTTAGATGTCAGGTTCGCGAAATTAGATGACAGACCAAGGTATCAACGTTCATCAACTTCAAAGTCTGGACAGCCTCCTTCGATGGAGATTCGAAGGGCGGTCCTAGGTGGACGGACCGATCCTGCCTCCTCTGGGAGTTGGCCGATCTCTGAGCGAGTTTTTATTGTTAGGACGATAATAAAGTCACATCTGGAACCATCATGTGAGTGTTGTCACTGAATCTGTCCGTGGGTGTTTCCGGAAACTTTTCGACGTCGCAGACGCAGCAGGTACCATCCGGTCCCGCCCATTCCTGCCAAAGCGAGGATCGCCGTCAAAATTATGGCCCAGGTTGGGAATGTAGTTTCGTCTGGAAGGGAGAAATTTGAATCGAACGAATTCCATCGTCCATCGTGCAATCGCTGATGACTGTCGGGCTGTTGGATAGTGGTGCTATCGCCTCAGGAAAAACGAGGTGACTTCCGATTGGCCGACGAAAGGATAAATCCACAGGCAAACGTCTCGCCCAATCATAGGCCGCAGTAAGTCAGGATTCACAAGCCCGCTAGAGATCGGTTCGTATCCGATCTGGCTGGGATGTGAGGTCGCAAACCAGCGCCATACGTGGAAACTTACCGACGCAATTCGGAGGCGAGAACATCACGGAGCTGATCAGACCGTTGAGTTTTTGTTCCGTGTCGAGATCCTTGTTGAATCCCGTGATGAGAATCTCGTAGCTTTAATGAAAATATCGAAAGAATTACGCTCCATCAACTCGTCACGACGATCCCGAGAGGAAAATTCATCGAGTATAGAAAGGTAGTACTTCGAGCAGTCAAGGGCTCCGGCGAGCGAATAGTTCAGAGCTGGCGGGATATCGAACGCAATGTCCTTTCCGTTCCCTTTATCCGAAATCTGAACAGAGAAACCGTCGATCGGGCCGGAAGGTACTTCTGGTGTCTCCCAAGTGAACCACGGTTTGCCGTCGACGTAGCTTACGCCCAGGTCGCGCACCTTCGAAGGCGCTGTAAACGGTACGCTGATGAAGCATCACGATTCTAATTTGAGGCTCCTGCGATTCAGAGTTCGACCATGCCATCTTTGAGCCCGATTCCATCTCGATGCATCGAAGCAGGAGAGAAAATTCCACTAACAGGCGACATTCGTCAGGAATCCCGCGATCTCATCTCGTCCGCAGAATAAATGATCCCCAACGAGACGAACACACGTTGCTACCTGGAAAGTGACGTTCGTGAAAGCAGTGAAGCCGTGGATGGTGACAGCTTTCCTGTTCGAGATAACCTCATGTCCAAAGGAGTCGTGTATCCTGAAGGACAGATATTCCTGATCGAAATCCCTCTCGATCTCGAAATGTAGGGAGGTCGCGGTGCGCTGACCGAGCTTCAAGGACCGCGGCGGCTCTGCGGGAGTAAATAAGAGGAAGGCCCTATGAGACCTCGCCTTTGTCTTCGACTCCGACCGATTGACCCATTCGTTTCGTGGGAAAAATCCCGAAAAGAGTTGAATAAGACAACTGACTCACCGGGTCGCTGGACATGCCACTGAGTGTGTATGAAATCTCCCTTCCGGTAGTCGTCATCACCCTTATTGACTACTTGAACCTTGAACGTGTATACGTCGGATATGGGGGCAATATGGGGGATCTTGAAGCCATATTCATTAACACGGGCGGCCGGGACACTGCAAGGACAACCAAGAGGATCAGAGTTTCCCCATTGAGCGAGCTGTCCATCGACCGTCGGAAATGATTTAGGAGGTAGCAAAGACGGGAACGCACTTCACAGTTTGGGTAGCGTTCGAGTCCGAAACAATCTGAAGATTGAAGGACTGGATGATTCCATTCGCTTCTTCCGGAGGGTCCCATGCCACTGCCAGATCCAAAGTATCCGGAGCTTGTGAGACGGAGAGGTTCGTAGCGGGTCCGGGCTTGCCGGTTACCGTCTCGAAGCTTTGAGTTTGTGCTTCTATTGTCCGGTTCCTCCCCAGCTCAAGATCGTATACAGCCAATACCGTCATGGAATAATGGGTGAAGTAGGCCAGGGTAAGGTTCCGCTCGAGACTTTTGTCACCTTGAATATACGCGCATTCTCTTGCACAGTAGGATACATCAAACCTCGTCACGTTCTGGCTGAGATCGTTCGAAGGATCGATATCCCAGGAGATTGTGTAGATGACCCTAGACGCTACGTCTAGGCGTTCCGTGGCTGAGTGCCTGACCTGGATCGGTGGTGGCCAATCTGGAATACACACATATCAGCTTTCCCGTTCACGCCTGTTCCCGAGGAGGGGGTTAGGGGAGCAGAGACACATGACTGATGTTCACGCTAAGCGTCGACCATGCCTGAGCTCAGCGTTCTGAATGTGCTGCTCAGTGGTGAGCTCTCATTCCCGGGATCTTTCATGGATGAGGCGGTAATCTCCACGTTGTATTCCGTGCCGTTCTGTAGATTCCCCAATTCGAGCTCGAGAGCTCCTTCCGCGGAGCTTGAAATCTCAGTTCCATTCTCCGGACATAACTTGATCTCGAACCTGACGTCTCGAAGTTCCACTCCCGGACTCGACCAGCCCCAGCCAAGCACGACCGATACTGGTGAGAGGTGAGCGACTTGCAAATCCGATGGTTCTTTGATCCCTTGCAGAGTATCTATAAGGAATGCTCCTCACGTATTCGAAAATCGGAGCCCAAGCATCGCAGACCCTGGATATTCTCCACCGCCATCATCGATTTGCGTTTGGCATCACGAACACTTCGATTTCACGTATCCGGCGACTCACAACTTGGAATGGCAAATGCTGCAAGCAGTAAGACACTTGCAAGGCTCATTTTCCTTATGGCCTCCGACGTTCGATGGGCGCCGAGTGTTTCACGCTATTCTGGTTTTTCTAATGCAATCTGACTGACGCTGCAAGGCTGAGCGGTTATGGAAGCGTAAGGCACACGATGGATTACTTGCTGGTTTTGAACTAAGCCCTCTGATGATGATCGAATCACTAGCGCACTGCGGACTCTCAGGAACAGGGTCTGTTTGGGTACAATATGGATACGATATGCTTCAACCCGTTAGAACGGAACTAGTTCGCAACTAGTTCGAAAATAGGCGGGAGATCGTCGAGTCTGCATTTTTTCGGTGAACGTCCCGGTTGGGCGTTACGATTGCTCGAAGAAGCCCATATCATCTTATCCTGCCTGAATATATATGTATATACGATTATTATGCTCAAAATCCTCCGGAAGCCACTCAAAGCTCCCGAGCCTCCTTGTCTACTCCTTCCATCAATGCCTGAAATCGTTAGTAATCAGCGGCTATTTCAGTTTGATTGAAGGCGATGGGAATGTGGATCAAGAACTCGAGTTTCGTTTCGAGCCGCCCGAGCTATTCTGTCATGGAGATTAGCCTCGTGGGTATTTTTCCCCGGGGGACTTTAGCTGCGTGACACTACACTTTGATTCCTGTGGCCCGAGTTCCATCTTCCTCGGAAGTCATTATTCCGGCTTGAACGCTCTAGAAGTGAATCACGATGGGATCACGAAATCGCCATGGATTTCGAGCCGGGAGAAGATTGAAATAAAACTCAGTGATCTCCAAAATCGTTCGATCTCAAGATTGATTCACCGACAGGTTCAATTGCAAGCTCCGATCGGTAGACAGAACCGTGATACGTTTCATGCTTGATGTAGATCTTCGGGACGACGCTCTTTGGTATCGATTCCGTGGAAGTAGCTCATCGAATTTCCCGGAAGCTGCAAATGTCTCTCAATGCATAGGAGGCAACTATCCCATGTATATGGACTTTGGAGTTATTCTGTCGCTTCGTCGTATACGTGTATCCGTGTGGCTCATGGAATTCGGAGGGGAGGGGGACCATGACTTAGCCCGGGGAAGGGTTATTTCCGCTGTGTCGACCGGCTGCTCTTGCGTGGACTTGGCATTGCATAAAACTGTGGATTTATAGGGACGATAATAATGCCTAGATCGTCTTATTTTTCTTCTCGATATTTATTGATGGAATAAATTATCTGGGTCTGAGCAGATCAGCCCATGTCTTCGTTTCGGAGCGTTCTGCGTCTGTACAGTAAAATTCCAACACCAACTCCAACCGCGATCAGAACAAGAACCAAGGCCACAATCCACCACACCGCACTTCCGGAACCGACTGAAAAAAGAACACCCCATTAGCTCGAACTGAAATCCTGTGTCTGGAACAGAGCCATCCTATTGACCAGACAGCGATTCGGAATAGGAGATTCCCCTGGAATCGCTGGATCCGAGGAACTCACCAGTTTCGAAGCTGGCTGAGGCGGGTTTCGAGTCGTACTCCTCATGGGTATCCTCATCGATGTTGTACGCGAGTACGTGGACAGTGTAGGCGCTGGCTGAAGTCAAGTTTGAGAACTTATGCTTGACTTGTTTCTCCTCGACCGTAATCCACGTCAGATTGCCGGCTCCGGACTGCGATATGGCGACCTTGTAACCGTCAATCGGTCCATTCGGAGTGTTCGGTGCTTTCCACGAGACTGAAAATTCGGATTGAGTCACGTCCGAGACAGTGACTGAAAGAGGTTCCGAAGGTGCTGTAAGGGAACATATTCCGGTCAGCTCGCTCTGATCGCGTAATGAATACACGGTATTATTAAAAACCCCTTCGAAGTACTGACTGTCGACACGAGTGGCCACTTCGAACGCTCCGGGCAATCCGCAGCTATCGACTTTGTCCGAAGTACAACCCCGGGTGAGAACTGTGGTGTTCGTATACGGTTTTAGGCCCTCAAGAACGAAGCTTGTCTTATTCGTGATCTCTTGATATTTCAGAGCGGGTACTTCAATGTGGTAGTAAGCGACTTTGAATCCCGGGTAGTCCGGCTTCTCCCACTGCAAGAACGCCGATGTTGAGGTCTTGTTGAGCTCCTGAACGTTTTCCGGTTTCGGGGGATCTGGAATACGCAAAACCCTCAGATGCGTCCTGGCTGCAGCTTTGACATTCGAGACAGTATCTTCGATGGCGATACCAAAGTACTCACGTCTCCCAGCTGTCTTGACAAGAATGCTCGACAGCTCTCCGGATACTCGCACTTTCGGGTCGTCCAAGTCGTAGTTGAAGGCGCTCACGGAGAAATTGTATCTGCGACAAGCAATTCTCTTATCGAGGTGGAACTCTGTCGGGTCTTGATTACCTGATTGCGGGGCTCGGACAGAGGCCGCCTCGGTGGATCTCGACTTTTGCCCATGGACCCCGATGCGCGATGCGCGTCGCTGACCAGATACTCGAGAGGGGGATTCATCGGAATGGGAACAGACTCACTTTTCGAATTCGAGGTCCGACTCGTAAGTGAAGGACAGCTGCTGGAACGGCAGAACCTTCTCGAAGTTGACCGATTTATTGGTCAAGTCCCTGAGAGTGAACACGTAGCCGTCCAGAGGTCCATTAGCAGTCGTGGGGGGAGCCCACTTGAAGACTGGATTGGTCAGATTCGCATAGTCGGAGGTCAGGTCGTTTACGGCCGAAGGACCTGTGAGCCGTTAAGTGAGTGAGGGAGCAAGAAGCGCGAAAGATTTCCGGAATGCTCAAGTTATAGATTCGGGAACGTATCGATTGAGTGGATTCGAGTCGGAGCTCATGTCAGTTCGACTTCAAGCGCGAATTTCGCTTACCAGCAACGTTGGTGACACTTGTGAGGGCGACAGACTCCGAGCAGAATGTCGGAAGAAAACAGGCCGCAAACGCGATTGTTTCGGGTGTGTAGGATCTGAGATTCTTCACCTCGACTCGCTTCGAGGTACTCCTGAAAGTATCTCCTTGAGCATTCGCCGCGATGTAGTACAGACCGGTGGTGTCTTCGGTATCATTCGATGGAGTCATCTCGAGAAGCAGCGAGCTGCTCAATCGTTTGATAACCTCAGCACTCGGAGCACCTGGGGCAAAGGCGAGACTGTGAAATCCTGTTCGAAAGTGACGTTCCGGGAGCATAAGTTTCCTTCCCTCGATCCTCTACCCACCGATGCCTTTGAAGAGTAGCGCGGAGCTCTTCGCTGGTCCCGGTAGAGGCTGGCCTTTCAAGTTGATGTTGACCGCTCGGACGCTGACGGTGAAGTTTGCATCGCCGTGAACCGAGGGCAGCCTAACGGTGATTCCTCTCGTCCCAACGAGTCCGGTTCTGGAATAGGTAGAATGGAAGTTCGACTCTAATTTATGGGATACTACCACGGATGGATCGGGACGAGGGAATAAGTTAAAGCGGAAGGGTATTGATGGGATATTTGGCGGAAATTCTTGAATTGAAATTATCCCCTGATATCTTGTGCTCCCCTACGCAAGTCCGCGTGGGTCGGAGCTGGCATGGGATCTTGTTCCTCCAGTGGGAGAATCTCGACTCACATGCTCGAGACGATGTTGTCCTCCGAATCCTTGGTCTCGACTTCGTAGTAATCGAGTTTCCCGTTTTTTACTTTGGGCACAGTCCAAGAAACCTTGAAGGTATTCGTACGGACATGTTGTTCCGCGGTGACGCTTTCCGGGGGTCCTGGAGCTGCTGAATCTGTGTAGAACAACTCGCTCTCTGCGCTTCCGTCGAATTTCGATCCATTGTATGAAACGGTGGTCTGGATGGTGATGTTGTATAAGCTGTACGGTCCGAGTTTCGTCAGCTCGATGCGTTCTTCCTCGGTAGATGCGATAACATTGTTCGGAGCATCAGTGATCTGGTAGGTCCTAGAGAGTTTCACCGGCAGATTAGCGGGCGGAGACCATGTTAGGACAGCAGTGGTGGTGCTCACGTTTTGAACCTGGATGTTGGTGACCGCTGACGGGGCTGGAAAGGAGAGGCTATTTCGGAGGAACCCTGCTGCGTCGAAAATACGGTCTTCGATAGCTTTCAAGAACTTTCTAGTAGAACTTAGCCATTGGTGTAAGAATTCACTCATCTCCCGGAAGTTATAATCACTCCGGATGATCCCCCCCTCTTCGATGTTCCCGGGTTACTTCACGCGCACCCCGATATTTTACGGTGCATCACCCGAAATTCGAGCCCGATAGATTAGAGCAGCACCGAATCGACCAGTTTTCCGGAGGCATCCTAGTTTTGTTCACTCACAAGTTCCCGGAGTCGTCAGGTTGGTTTTCTCGCCGCTCCTGACCTGGGTCTGGTTCAGATCCAATTCGTATATGGCGTCTACTCTGAGGTCGTAGTCTGCGAAATATTCAAGCGGAATGACCTCATGAGCGTCTTCGGTTTCATTTTGCGTACAAACACCGGTGTCTCGTTTGCAGGAGATGATCCGGTAGAAGGTTGCATTTCTCGGCGCGGCGTCTGAATTCCATTTCAAGTCGTAGGACGCTGTGTCTGAACCCTCGCTCAACAGATCGGCGATGACGTTGACGGGAGCGGCGTAGTCTGGGGACGGAGAAGGAAATTTCGAATCGAATCCTATCTCGCCAGAAGTATCTCGGAAGAGAATACCGAGTCGCTGTGAATGAAGCTGGGTGCTCAGAGCTCCGAGGACCGAACTGTACCTTTGTCCAACGTGGTGAAGTTGAACGAAGAGCTCGTGTTGGCGGGGAGAACGCTCAACAACACTTCGTACGTTGTGTTAGGCTCGAGACCCCGAAGAATGGTTTTCCTCTCGCTAGAGTTGACTGTCTTGGAGTCATTTTCTGAGCTGCTGTACTCGATCACGAAGAGTAGTGCAGGCGATAGAACCTTCACAGAAGTATCCCATTGAGCGTAGAGCGTATTCGCGTCAAGACCGACGGAGGCGAACTTGATCGGCACAGGGACTGGGAATCAAATGTTTTCATCTAAAGCAGCTTCCTTACATACAGAAAGATGCTCTGATCCGATCACGACGCTCTGCGTCCCCCAGTACCTGTGTGCGGTGTCTCGAATCGGAAAACTCCAGGCGTCCTGCACATCAAATGATGACTGATATTGAAGACCGGCGTGATGTGTACTGTCAGGTTTTTGGAAAACGGCAAGTCTGTGAAAGTGACCTCGGGTTCCGTGACGTCGATAGACTCTACGAAGGCGGCGTCCGATTCGCAGGTCACGGTCACGTTGTAGAATGCCAGATCGTAAGAGGCTTCACTAAGCTGTAGATGAAGAAGTTCGATGAGCCTCTCTGACGGAGGTAGCCGGGGGTAAATATTTCTGAACCTGAATTCCTACAGATCCAGACGTATGCATCTACGATCGAGAGGGAACTCCGCGCACCTTCCATGTGAGCTTGACTAGTCGCTGCTCCCCGTGCCAAGGGAAAGTGGCTTCGAAGCCGCTAGGAATCGGGAGCTCTGCGGATCAGTGAGAAAAAATCCTTAGAAATGCTGTTCCGCTTCCTACGGAGCCCGGAGAGGGGACTTTACCCACCAACGTCTGCAGTGACGAACTCTGCCTCGTACGCTCGACCGCGGTAAGTTTCGCCCTGGAAGGCGATCGCTGGCACTATGCTCAGATCGTATCGAGTACTGGGAAGCAGTTCATGCAAGTCCATGGTGAAAGTCGTAGCCTAGGGGAAATTCGAACGTGATGACGGACCGACTCGAAAACGGCTTCTGGAAGGGGCTCCCACGCGATAGACTCGCTATGATCGATGATGATCGAGGCGTCGGGCGGGATAAATTCACCTTATGCTGGTTCCTGACGTGAACCATCGTCTTACAGCTCTCGCTCCAGCACAATGTGATATTGTACATATCGACGATTTTCGGCATGAAGGCCTCTTCGATCGTAATGTTGGCATCGACGGCGGAGGACACGGTTTCCACATTTTTCACTGGATGGGGATCTGGACGGAACGGGGAGTCATTCCTTGTTTATAGGTCTCGTAAGACTGACGCAAGAGGAACATTACGCTTTGGAATTCAATCAGAACGATCCCCATAGCAGACTTACTCCCAGGTCCAATGCTTTTCTCGATTTGCAATCTATTCTCGCCAAAAATACACCAAGAAGTCTCGAGAATAATCGTGTAATTGGTCCAGAATTCCTTTTTCTCGATCGTGAATTGAGACTCTCTCGTGGACGTTTCTTCGATACGAGGTCCATTGGGCGTCTGGGTGTACAAGTGGAATTTCGCAGTCGGACAATCTCCGGCTTTCCATTGCACGTTGAAGTTGACGAAATCGCCTTCGCTGTCATCAACTTCGGCCACCAAATTGGAAGGACCTATGACGCGAGGAGTTCATTCGCTCATGAGATTCAGAAAGTAGATCGCATCGGAGATTCTCGCTTCACTCATGGATATGTTACGTCGACAAAATCAGCCAAGATCCCCGAGAGAGTTTCATCTCCTCGCTGTGGTCAGCCCAATCAGATAGTGTTGTATACCCGAAATTGTTTGCGAGGTCGGGACTTACCCCAAGATGCTGAAACCGCTCCACAGAAGAGGGCGAGCAGCGCGATGCATTTCGTGAGCGCCATCTCCGCCGCGAATGAAGGAAGTCGGCTACGCGATCACTGCTTTACGCTGCCTTTATCACTGAACGCCCCGTGGATAAGCACAAATCTACCCGATGTGTGGCGATGAATCCATGCTGGAAGTTACGCTTGCCTCAACTCAGAGGGAAGGAGAAGGAATGAGTTCTGAACTCGCCGAAAACAGGAGAAATCGAATAAAATAGGCGGGGAATCATCTCGAACGGAGGCAGATTCAAAAACACGATTCGAACTCTAGCACACGGAGAGAATTTCCTGATTTGCTCCGATTAATCAATTGTAGGATCGGAATTAAGTTAAGCAATGTCGTATCGATCTAAAATAGGCGTTCTGCGACTAATGCCGTGCTGTAGAACAGCAGAGCGTCACGTCTAATGAGTCAAGATGACGGAGGTCCAAAACCCTTCGAATTGTTGAGGATTCGTCGATCCGTTCATTGTTCTCTTGGTGATGAGACACAGTATCACCTCCCGTGGCGTGAACCGATTGCATGTATTGATGCCTTTGATGATGCCGAGTGCGGATTACCCGAATCGAGATCCTTTCGACTGAGCCGCATGGTGTCGACCACGAACATCTCAACTGACGGATCGGCTAGGCCCTCGATAGATTCCCGGGAACCGCAGTGGAAATAAGAAATGAAAGGTTCGGCAATAACAAAGTTCGGGAGAGCCTCTCGCGTTGTTCCGTGGTGATAGGAAAGAGAATAGAATCGGTCGATCGACCTCGGAGGAATACGGGCTTCAAGTCTGAGAAATCTTCTATGATATTTGGAGTGAAGCTCAATGAGATTGTTGACCGGTGTCATTTTCGTTTCTCCTCGATGTGGCACGAAAAAACGATTCACTCGTCGCTTTAGCGGAGCGACGACTCAAGGCTCATATCGCGCGTGGAATTTCTTCCTCCGGGGACAGTCCGCGGGAACGACTGCGAATCTCGAAATCGCAGAGTTTTTTCTTCAGAGTGGAGCCGGGCTCGAGAGGCCCGCGTAACTTCGATTTGGTGTATTGCGCGGCCTATCGGGACTGAAGCTCCGTAGCAGTGAATGTTGGTGACGATGAGTGAGTGATCGCTTATAAACAGCTTATTCCAACTCGAGTACGCCGTTCCATCTCCGTTGTACGTATCAACTACAGGTCCCCAAAGCCTCTCAACAGCTCGCGGTTTCTTGCGCGTCAGTGCGAGCTCGCTTAACTGAGCGATGCGTGGAGCTTTTCTGGATCCTCCCAATCGCGTCAGGCAGCGATCGATGACGAATAAGTAATGTTTTTGGAAGTGAACAAGACTTTGGACGATTCCCGTCGTTGCTCCCGATCGCAGACGGTTCTATCGCTTTTGAGATTCGGCTGGAATATCACGCTAATTCCTGACAGTAAAGTATCAGTGACTTTCGTGACCTTGGCTTAGCCTAGACCGAGCGATCTTGCTAATACTTTCAGGTCCCCACTTATCAGATGACTGCTCATGATCCACACCGTGATCCGGGGGATCTGTGAGGACCGGAATCTTCTCCACGATTCGCCACATTCTCGTTTCGATTCTGGTTTGGGAAAACGAAACGCGCGAAAAAGAATATCGAGGAAAGACACGAGAATCCTATTCACGTTCAATGGAAGTTTCTTCTCAGTTCATCAGCTAGTCACATCAATCCTAGCAATATCAATATTTTTGAGACAAACAGAACGCCGGACCGTCTCGACATACTGGTGAAATGCCCTTCGGACAGCTTCTCCGCGACTCTAGGGAAGCGCCGCGACGCCTCGATAATGAGCGGAACGCAGCTCTTGACGAACGAGACAGGAGCCGAAATCTGATTTTCAAGGCGCGGAGAATGGAGAAATCCCAAGCATCAGACCCTAATAAACTCCGAGAGCTCATTCATTGCTTCGGAATGTCTCGGAGTGATGGGCTAAAGTAGCTACCCAGAAAAATTCTAATGACCATGAGTTGACTCACGGTGTCCAGACCGGACGCTGGAACAATGACTTCAGTATTCTGTAACTTAGTGTAAGTTCAGTGAGTTTCGGCCTACCTAAGAAGAATCGTCGCATCCTACCTCCAGGACAGGTGGATCACGGAAAGTGGAGAGAGGTACCCAGTCTCAGCAGGAGTTCCACAGGGCTCGGTCCTCGGTCCGACACTGTGGAACGTCGCTTACGACGGGGTTCTGAGACTGAAGCTTCCCGCGGGAGCCGAGACGATAGCGTACGCCGACGATCTAGCGCTCGTCGTCCGAGCGAAACGGAGAGAGGACCTCGAGGAGATCGCGAACGACTCCCTTGCGATCATCGCTGCGTGGATGAAATCGAAAACCTTGGCGCTCGCCCCGGAGAAGAGCGAGGCAGTCATGCTGATCAAGAGGAGGAACGAGCCACCCCCGGAAATTCTGCTGGAGGGACACAGAATCGAAATCAAGGACAGTGTGAGCTATCTCGGAGTCACGCTTGAGAGCGGGCTCACAGGCAAGGCCCATGTAGAAAAAGTTGCTTCGAAAGCGAGGAGAGTAGCTGCGGACA